GGCGGCACGGGACACCATTCCACTAGACTGGGCGGACAGTGTGGAACCTCCAGTGTACCGAGAACTCATCACACCTCATCACCATGTGATACAGTCTGCATGGCGGCACGGGACACCATTCCACTAGACTGGGCGGACAGTGTGGAACCCCTAGTGTACCGAGAACTCATCACCATGTGATACAGTCTGCAAGGCGGCACGGGACACCATTCCACTAGACTGGGCGGACAGTGTGGAACCCCTAGTGTACCGAGAACTTATCACCATGTGATACAGTCTGCAAGGCGGCACGGGACACCATTCCACTAGACTGGGCGGACAGTGTGGAACCCCTAGTGTACCGAGAACTTATCACCATGTGATACAGTCTGCAAGGCGGCACGGGACACCATTCCACTAGACTGGGCGGACAGTGTGGAACCTCCAGTGTACCGAGAACTCATCACACCTCATCACCATGTGATACAGTCTGCATGGCGGCACGGGACACCATTCCACTAGACTGGGCGGACAGTGTGGAACCCCTAGTGTACCGAGAACTCATCACCATGTGATACAGTCTGCAAGGCGGCACGGGACACCATTCCACTAGACTGGGCGGACAGTGTGGAACCCCTAGTGTACCGAGAACTTATCACCATGTGATACAGTCTGCAAGGCGGCACGGGACACCATTCCACTAGACTGGGCGGACAGTGTGGAACCTCCAGTGTACCGAGAACTCATCACACCTCATCACCATGTGATACAGTCTGCATGGCGGCACGGGACACCATTCCACTAGACTGGGCGGACAGTGTGGAACCTCCAGTGTACCGAGAACTCATCACACCTCATCACCATGTGATACAGTCTGCATGGCGGCACGGGACACCATTCAACCAGACTGGGCGGACAGTGTGGAACCTCTAGTGTACCGAGAACTCATCACACCTCATCACCATGTGATACAGTCTGCATGGCGGCACGGGACACCATTCCACCAGACTGGGCGGACAGTGTGGAACCTCTAGTGTACCGAGAACTCATCACACCTCATCACCATGTGATACAGTCTGCATGGCGGCACGGGACACCATTCCACTAGACTGGGCGGACAGTGTGGAACCTCTAGTGTACCGAGAACTCATCACACCTCATCACCATGTGATACAGTCTGCATGGCGGCACGGGACACCATTCCACTAGACTGGGCGGACAGTGTGGAACCTCTAGTGTACCGAGAACTCATCACACCTCATCATCATGTGATACAGTCTGCATGGCGGCACGGGACACCATTCCACTAGACTGGGCGGACAGTGTGGAACCCCTAGTGTACCGAGAACTTATCACCATGTGATACAGTCTGCATGGCGGCACGGGACACCATTCCACTAGACTGGGCGGACAGTGTGGAACCTCTAGTGTACCGAGAACTCATCACACCTCATCACCATGTGATACAGTCTGCATGGCGGCACGGGACACCATTCCACTAGACTGGGCGGACAGTGTGGAACCTCTAGTGTACCGAGAACTCATCACACCTCATCACCATGTGATACAGTCTGCATGGCGGCACGGGACACCATTCCACTAGACTGGGCGGACAGTGTGGAACCCCTAGTGTACCGAGAACTTATCACCATGTGATACAGTCTGCATGGCGGCACGGGACACCATTCCATTAGACTGGGCGGACAGTGTGGAACCTCTAGTGTACCGAGAACTCATCACACCTCATCACTATGTGATACAGTCTGCATGGCGGCACGGGACACCATTCCACCAGACTGGGCGGACAGTGTGGAACCTCTAGTGTACCGAGAACTTATCACCATGTGATATAGTCTGCATGGCGGCACGGGACACCATTCCACCAGACTGGGCGGACAGTGTGGAACCTCTACTGAGAGGAGACACCAGTCGTGTGCTCGGTCTGGAGTGAGTGAGGTTTTACGCCGCTTTCACCAAATCCAGCAATATCGGGGACATCAGAAATGGGCTTCACACATTGTACCCAAGTCGGAATTCGAACCCGGGTCTTCGGCGTGACGAGCGAACGCTTTAACCACAAGGCTACCCGACCGCCCCTACCAGCTCTAGAAGGTGGACAACATACGTAAACTCAGTTCAACATAAGAGACACTTGTAAAGATTTTGCTTCCAGCTGGTGGTCTGAAAGCGGAAATTCAAACCCACCAGAACTATTTCCCGTGTCGCTTCTGTCACGTCGGTGCCGAAAAGTCAGTTGATTTATTTTAGTCCTCTAGGTTCTACCAGAGACCATAACAAAATTTATGGTCTCTGCTCCTATTTCGATTATTTTCTCGAAATTTCGATTTTTTTCAAATAAACCTGAAATACGGAGAAAATAATTGAAGTGACGAGTTTTGGATATAAACTTGAAATAAAAACGAGAAAATAATCGAAATGAAGAAAATGTAATCGTGGTAACGAGAAAAAAAATCGAAATTTCGAAAAAGCTAAACAAATAATTGAAATAACGACAAATTTCGATTAAAAAACAAATTTATGCTACCCAAGTGGCACCATTAGGTTTTCGTGAGGTTGACTGACAGGACTCTACAGTTGAACTCCGCCAGCCATACCGCTACCTGCATGAGTTAACAGTGCCTGTATATGTCGACTGACGGGTGACGTTGGAGAGAAGGCGAAGCTTATAATTACCCATGACAAGCAGGCAATTTGAACAAAACTCTCCCTTTCACGTATCACCCCAGCTGCGAATTGGAAGCAATATACTGCTCTGCTTTTACTATCCGACTTCCACATCACTCATGCATACCGTGGATCAGCGACCCGTGGATGTCAGATAGTAAAAAGGGCAAACATGGGTTGCTGACGACCTATTCTCCACACGATTGGTTGGTTGGTATGTTGTTTTACGCCGCACTCTGCAATATTCCAGCTATATGGCGGCGGTCTGTAAATAATCGAGTCTGGACTAGACAATCCAGTGATTAATATCATGAGCATCGATCCACGCAATTGGGATCCATGGCATGCATCAACCAAGTCACAGAGCCTGACCACCCGATCCCGTTAGTCGCCTTTTACGGCAAGCTTGGGTTGCTGAAGACCTATTCTACCCCGGATCTTCATATCGGGTCGGATCTTCACAGGTCTGAAACAATGTGGTGCTTTTGTTATTCATTAGTAACAAGGTTCTTTGGGTAGAATCGGGGGCCTTGTTGGGGCTCCGGGTTAGAACAGACCCCCATGCAGTAACCTGCACTTGTTATAATAGGGTCAGCTGGTCAGGTTTTGTGACCTGGTTGATTGCGTGTCGTGGGGCGTTGTTCACAACTGGTTTGTCTGGTCCTGACTTGATTATTAACAGGTCGCTGTCATAAAGCTGGGCTGCGGCGTAAAACAACAAACACACGTCATATTCGTCATAGATGTTGCGATGACTTTGTTATGTGTAAAACATACTACTGCTGTTGTTGTTATTTCTTTTGGTTGGTTCGTTGTTATGTTGTTTAACGACGCACTCAGCAATATTCCAGCTATATGGCGGCGGTCTGTAAATAATCGAGTCTGGACCAGACAATCCAGTGATTAATATCATGAGCATCGATCCACGCAATTGGGGTCGATGACATGCATCAACCAAGTCAGAGAGCCTGACCACCCGATCCCTATAGAGTCGCCTCTTACGACTAGCATAGTCGCCTGTTACGGCAAGCATGGGTTGCTGAAGACCTATTCTACCCCGGATCTTCGCGGGTCTGTTATTGTTTTGAACTATTCGTGTGTTTTCTGTTCCCTTCTTCGATGATCAGTTGGCCAAAATGTCGGTGCGGGTATGGTTAGTAATAAAATCTCGGACCATATCCAAGCCCATCCAGACCACAACACCCATCGGAACAACATCGACGTACTCAACAGACATCATGCCTACTACAAGATTAGGAAACTGATAGAAGCCATCCACATGAAAAGACTCCAACCACTCATCAACAGAGGTCAAGGTTGTTACATTCCAACGGCCTACCTTGACCTCATCACTGAACAATCTTAATCTCATTTCCATTGTTTATTATATATAAAATATATATCTTAATCCTTCTCATCTTCATACTGGCTTCCAATCAACTGTATTGTTTCACTATCAGACAGGGGGCGGTCGGGTAGCCTTGTGGTTAAAGCGTCCACTCGTCACGCCGAAGACCCGGGTTAGATTCCTGACATGGGTACAATGTGTGAAGCCCATTTCTGGTGTCCCCCCGCCGTGATATTGCTGGAATATTGCTAAAAGCGGCGTAAAACCATACTCACTCTCTCACTACTATCAGACAGACAGACAGTTTATTCGGTAATTTCAGCATAAATGCCCATAATACAATGCAGATTGGATATTAACATTTTTACTATCATGCGTTGTTAATCGTGTTTATTCTATATCTACATCAACCAGGCTTTATACTTGAACGTTGCCTGTTGTGTTCATGTAAGCGTAAATATGTTCCCCCCTGAACATTTGTTCTGGTGGAAACGATATAATCTGGAGTTTTGTTCTTGTGGACCAATATACCTGGGAACAATATTCCACATGAACAGCACAAAATGATCAAGGGTATACATAACATATCTTACTCTCTTTAAAATAAACATCACGCAGTCTATATCGTTATTCAAACCTTGTTAAAACATCAATTATCCACATGTCTATAACCTCCCTACTGCACATTGTTGTATATCACTTGCTTGATAACGGTGTTAGTATATACACCAAAACATCGCATTCGTTGTAATAAAGAGGTTGTACATCTCCCTTCCTCAATGTGGGTAAAATGCCTCTAATCGTGTTTGGGTACTTTTATACAGTGGAGCAATTTCAAATAACATAAATGCTTCTACGCTGAATTTGAAAATAGGGCTAAGTTATAATAGTGCTCAATGTAAGCACCGTTTAAAAAAATCATTCTGTATAGGAGCCATCTTTTCGTAATGGTTTTCCAGCGCATATTTTACATTCCACCACCAAGTCACATGACTTTACTCGCAAAATGGCGGAAGGTAAGTGTGTTTGGTGGGAGTGACGGTGGATGTAACAGGTACTCGTGCAGCATCTGCACACTCTCAGACGTACATAACAACTTGCGAGGAAGTACTAATATGTTTTTGAAAGTATGCATGGTGATTTGATTGAAGTGTTTGTTTTCAGTTAGGTGACAATGTGAAGGTCTGACAGTGACGCTAGTGACAAGTAAGCTGTCAAGTCAGTTGTCTGTTTACGTATGGTATGATCATGTCATTAGTGTTGTGAACACCAGGGGTCTCATATCATGTAGTAGTGGGTGCACGAAGTGTGAGGAAGCTCCAAAATGATGATCACCTATTGCGTGAGTCAAAATTCCGGATGGACAATTGTAATTATGATAAACACAGAAACAAGATGCCCAAGTACCTCACAGCTGGTTAACCCTCATGGTGCCTGGACGTCAGTCAGCCTGCAAACCGCTCAGTGCCGCACTGTGATGACGTCGCGGTTACAAAAACGTATACATTGTATCAAAAGTGTTGCAACGTCTTTATTTCTTTACACAGTGTAACCAAATTGTATAACATGCAACTCGAGTTGATTGTCTTTCCAACAGTATCTAAAGTCACCAAATCCAAAAGATCTATGCACTGCCCAGCCATCGATAAAAGTGCTGGTATTATAAGTTTCCTACTTTTCCACATTAATCGTAATATGGACGCACCCGAATATGGCAAGCAAAGTCAAGTAAGCGCCCTTGTTTGAAATCTAAATGACCAACAATTCATATCATTTGCAAGTACATGTCCTAACAGTGATAGACATATGATATTTATGATGAAGTACACATTCACTGAGAATTTTCTGTGAGTTATATTTACCGATAAAAAATCCCGATGAAATTGTGCGTGTTTTTTACGTCAAAACAAAATTGACGGAAGTGGTCCTGATTAATTCATACGCAGACTGTTTCAAAGATTATGTCACAAAACGAATGACAGTTTGGAATGTATATCGTGAAGAAATCCCGGTTACGTCAATGTATGTTTCAATGACCGTGCTCTTTTATTAGTGATAAAAACAACTTCGGGGTAATTGACATCGTACATTTTCAAAGGACAAAATGTGAAAGATCGCTAAACAGCCCTAACAATACTCAAATTGACATCGCTCAATATCGGGCATCATTATTTCTTAATAATTAACAAGATTATACTAACGTAATACCACCCAAGAGTAAGTACATGTAGATTCAATCAAACTTGTTGAAACGTTTTCATGGGCAGCAAATCTATTCAACAAAGCTATTTTCGATCACTCGCAACTCGGGCGCCATATGTCATTGTTTCACTATGGCCACCAGAAAACATACATCCTCGTATCAGGTCGTATTTCGCACTTGGTTGCCTAACTTTGACCTTTGCCCAAAATACACTTGTATAGCCAGTCCATGAAATACCACTTTTTCTTTCATTTATTCATTTGATTTATAAATACGACTTTAGAAGTGTATTTACACCTAGTTAGGTATATACATGTACATTTAAGGACATACGTGATAGTTTATTTCCACTAGTTTCCCATTCCATCCCATTCTACTAAAGGAAAAGTTTGAAATAGATAATGATCGTAGGCCAATGAAAGTAATGGAATTATTTGTCATAAAAGGAAAAATATATTCTTGGTATTGAACTTCGAAAATTTAACCAGCAAAATCTTTAATAAAATGGTTTATTATGTCTTTCCTTTTTTTCTTAATTTTGGCCTAGCTAAACAACAGCTTGGAGGGAAGATATACAAATTAAAAAGGTGAAAAAAAACCACAAGAATGTATTGATTTTGCTCTTAGACAAATATTTATTTAAAAAGAAAATCTATTTCATACCTAGGATACAAAACAAAGTAGAATCTAATTACTACTATGTCACTGGTCGAAGTATTTGGTAATTTAGATAATGCAGAGTGAAAAAAGACATAAACATCAAAACGAAGTCCGATTTACACTAAAAACTTTTTGTCTTTCAGAAATTGATTATCTATATATTGTGAGAAGATCTAATTACTTTTACTGTTTATGTTATAAATTGAACCATTCGAGATTCCAATAGATGAAGCTAAAATATTAAAAATCTAGGTGGTTTAATATTGGATCCATTTTGACAGCTTTCTCACTGTACTCAACTAAATGCATATTATTTTTTGGGAATATCAAGCCTTCAAACAGATATGAAAAGCACATGTCAACATACCAAAATTAGAAAACTGCGCCAAATATTCTAACACTGTTAGTCAAATGATAAGCGGTCTCATTCACTCGTCGGTCGCCGTAGACATTTTCCAATCGTGATGTACTAGATATGCTTTCTAGTTCAGTCAAAGAGAATACTGTTATTTGGAAAATGAAACCACGTGTATCCATTATACTACCACAACATTAGATGTTTCTGTTTCATGTGACGTCATCCACGTCACAACACGCGAGGTCAAATCACGCGCACCTGTCCACACGACAAATTCACAGCGGCGGGAAATCACCGACCGTCTATTAGCCTATTTGAATAAAATTGCAGATTGTAACGAAATAAAATTAATCGTACTCATTGCTGACATTACAGATGACCTATCAAATAAGAGTTGAAGACTTGCAATAGATTATCATACGTTAATCGAGAGTACAGTGTACATAAATAATTTGTAAATCTAATATTAATTTTTGATCTAATATCCATGGCAGAATGTTTGAAAACGAGCTACAATATATTCCATTTTCTGAAGAGATTAGTAATGTGTATTTGATGATATAAATGCATACACAATTGGTTATCAATTATCTTCTACAATCACAGCATGTACCATGTACATTAGACTCATGGAAAATACTATTTCAGCAAACCAATCACAGCGCCATTATCACAGTTTCAATTAAAGGAAAAACAAATCGAAATCGAACAGCGTATCCATAAGCGGTTAATCCAAATACAAAAAGGTATTGATGTCATCATTGTAGAAGTTATGTTGATGTTTTCAGTAGTTGCATTATGTTTGTATCGCGTGTACCATCGCCAGAAACGTGGGCTGAGCTACCACATGTGGAACCGACCTTGACACAATTTGTTTACAATATGGCGTTGACTCACGTTAGATGTCGTGGCCACACTTTTGAAATCTCCATTTGTGACAAAATGTGAAACAGTTAGGGCAAGTCACTCACACGGTCAGGTAGTTTGAGCAATCACACATGACTCTAAGTCAATTCATATGAAAAAAGTAGCAGTTATTTGTCTGAACGCGCGAGTATGTAGGACAACCGGTAAACAAGAAATCGCGGCACAGATATGATGCGAACGTGCCCTGTCGATCACTTCGGGCTTGGCCATTAAATGTTTAGGTTTTGATCATGAACCTCCTGCCCATAAGTATACACTTTACCAACTTAATATAAACGATTATAGCTATCTGAATATTTTCTGTTAATCAGCATCATAAACAAAAAGACAATCTGCACTGTCGGTTCGTATGTAGCGCCGTGCTAAATCGCCATGACACAGTCGATAAACATATGCAATACTTAACAAAAAAACTTCCGTGGCCGACTAAACGTTAGTACTCTTACGCCAATAACTGTACAGTGGGGACTAGTAAATCTTTCTGACCAGTCCGATCAGAATCCTTTTTATAATTGGCTGTCTGATATAATAATAGTTACGTACATGTGACTTGGGTGCATAATAAAACATTGCCTTCATTCGCATGAAGTTCAACATGGCAAAAAAAGAGAAGCGCGGTAACCACATTACTAATCTCGCCATATTTCGCAATCCGTAGCACTGCATAAAATATGAGTTACACGATATTAACGTTGAGATGATTAGGGTGATGATGGTTATAATTTTATTCAATGAACGTCATAAATGTAATGGAAATATACACTGTCGTTTTCTCATGTGTACCGACCATTCCGCCATTACCGATAGTTGATAAAAATATACAAAAAGTGTAAATAAACTTGTTCATAAAGGAGTGAACAGAATTGTATTTACGTGAATAAGTATACAGTTGCGAAAAATATGTCTTCTGACCACTCAGGTCATAATTTTTCTTATGAACAAGGATTTTGTCTGAAAATATTTACGTGTATGTGACATGGGTGCATAATCAAAATTCGCCGTCATTCGCTTGGTGTTCAAAGATGGCAGAAAAGGCCGAGAAAAGCGGTAGCCACTTTACCAATCTCGCCATATTTCGCAATCCGTAGCATTGTATAAAATATGAGTTACACGATGTTAAAGCTAAGATGGTTGGGGTGATGATGGTTATAGTTTTGACTCTGCGCACTCAGTGTTAAATATCAAAATTCACAGTTTAAAAAGGGCATTTTCTCGGGACCATATATGGTCCCCTGGCACTATGCGGGTGTGAAAAGTGAGGGACCATATATGGTCCCGTGGCACCAAGAGGGTTAAGCCAACATAGTCAGTACGTGTTCATCTGTAGAGCACTAATTGGCTGATACTTCACTGCTACTGCTATTGTCTGAGGCTGCTTTTCGTTGTTTATTGGGTTAGATTCTGTATTACATACAATGAAAAGCTATGGACAGCACAAACAAATATGAATCAAAATATTGTGTTTTCACTTGGCTTCAGACAATGTCTATCAAAGTACAATTAAAAATATGAAACAGATTTTTCTGATTAATGTTTCAGTTCATGTGTGTTGTTCATTCACCTTGCTATGCAAATTACAACCACTTATCAGTGATATCTACAATCTTGTACCAAGCTGTCACCCTTATATAATAATATATGCTACTGCTAGCTGTTCTATTTGATTCTGATCCATTGGTCTGATTTTTTCTCAATGTGTTCAGAGTGTATGTTGACAGAAAATGTACCCAATTTATTAAATTTAGCAACAAAATGAGACGTGAAAACAAATTGTACTATTTGTAGATCATCACCACCCTGGCAAAGGGAAGATTAATCTGGAAGTTTCACTGTTATCATATAGGGATTTAACTAAGATTTAGAACTAAGTGTCTGTGGCAGGCAAATTGGGAAAAAAATATAGGTTATTTTGTTCATAAGTGTGATTTTTTAAAGGTCTTATTTTGAGTTCTTTTATATTTTGTTTTGAGATTGCATTGTGTGCAAACATGAAACTCAATATTAAACTTCTTCCTCTTTATTGCCCTGTTATCAGTAAAATACAGGTTATGTCTATGATGCCATAGGCTTAGTTATTAGTGATGGGAAATTTTAAACTCTAATTTGGGAATTTTAAGAATGATAATGATCCCTTTTCAATGCTGAATATGCAAAATATGAAAACAGTATATAATGTCTGCCATGCAATAACAGACACATTCAAATTTTTACATTTTTACTAGAAAACTATCTATAAGAGTACATGAACATGCTACCTGCCTGACAACAGTCTGGCATCTTTTCTGTTGCTATCAATCTTTTGTTTGGCTGGCTCATACTTAATTATTTTCCCCTTGATATTCCGTTGTTTTGTTTTTATTTTAGGAAAATGTTGCATTTTGTTACAGAATCAGAGAATTATTAAAGCATTCGCTGAGAGTGATAGTTGGTGCAGTCATTAGCCAGGTCTACAGCAAGTGTCTGTAAAATAGTGCTAATTTAGGTTGTGTTCATTATTATAGTTGTGTTTTACAAATGTTACTTTTTTCCTCGCCAGTAGTTTGTGTAGCAAGACCAATAAAGACCATGAAGAGAAAAGGATCTTAAACTTTTCATTAAACTGATTGCAGTGAATGCAGTTGTCATTTCTTAAACATGTTTGAATTTGACCATGTTTAAGTTAAGAAATAATACCTTGAAAACTTATCAATAGTCAAATGATATTGAATGAGTGGGTATTTCTTCCAGTGTGTGGAACTACTTGAAAATCTTAGATTTTGTATATAAATGCATGAACACAATGATACTTTGCTGAAAAACAATTTGTTTTATAGCTAGCCTGGGTAATATACTACTACATGATATCAGTCATATTTGTCAGTAAAAAGCATATTATCCCCTGCAAAGGAGTGTATGCAGGGACATGCGCATATTCACAGCTAAATTATGTTCACAAATCACTAAAAAACTACATGTATTTTGTATTGGTTACTATGGTTACAATGTATTGGTTACTATGGTTGTAGGTGAAGTAGCCAAGCTACAAAACCACCTGCGCTTACTGCGAGAGGAATACGTAAAACTGCAGAATAAGTATGCCGACTTGGAGAGGAAGTACCAGGTGGCGGTGGCAGGGTCGGGAGGCGGTGCTCAAGACACATTTGTCTCCAGGCTCCTCAAACTGGTGGCCGACTTGTTTGACAAAGATCAGTACAGGTAGGCCAGTTACATGTGTAAACTTGTTGAATTCACATAGTTTGGACTTTGGAATCTTGTTTCTTTATATTGGATATATCTCTTCAATCATCATGGTCATTGTCATGTCAATACTCGCCATACTCACCATTGTTAGTGATGATGACCATATTCACGGTGAACAAATTCAATGCATGTTTCTGGCAATCAAAACCAGCTCATCATTCAATGTGTCATTCACTTGCAACCCTATATGTACCAGCAGTCATTAAGAGAAAGAGTCATCAGCAGGATGAAAACTGTTGTTTTTAAAATGTGGGAAGCAGATGTGTATATGTTTTAACTCTGTTACTCTGGGACAATTATTGAAAAAATCTTTTCCTGTATTTTAGAAATTAAGAAAATGGAATTTGCATGTGTGGATGAACAGATATCAATATCATTACATATATGATGATGAGACTTGTCATAAGCATGGTAAGAGCTGACCCATGGGATTGGGTGATCTGGCTAGCTGACTTAGTTGACATTTCATCCCATTTGTGTAGATCAATGCTCATGTTGGCAATCACTGGACTGTCTGGTCAAGATTCTGGAGATGAAATTTTTTCTATGTTTGTGAAATTTGGATTTGTGGACCTTTCAACATGTTATCTAAAACATCACACTGGATCATGATGTAAGATAAACACACTCACTTCTACCATGTCTACAGTTGTAATGATTGGACTTAGAAATACATACTCTGACATCTTCAATATATTGTCATGATTTGTTGCATTTACCATTGTTTACCATGTTTACCATCATCATGAAATGATGAAATGTTAAAAATCCTATTGTCTCTGCCTTGAAGTGACCTACTGGTCCACTTGGAGGGGGGCCAGCAGCTTAGAGCACACAAGTTCATCTTGTCATCTCGGAGTGATGACTGGGGGGTGACAGATCTCCACCAAGTGTCCGAGCTCCATGTTACAGGTGAGTTATGTTATCTCAAAATGATGACTGGGTGGTGATAGATCACCTGCATGTGTCTGAGCTCAAAGTTACAGGTGAGTGAGTGTTGTCATCTCGGAGTGATGACCGGGGGGATGACATATCTCCTCCAACCGTCCACGCTCCATGTTACAGGTGAGTGTTGTAGAGTGATAACCAGGGGGGTGACAGATCTCCACCAAGCGTCCGCACTCCATGTTACAGGTGAGTGTTGTAGAGTGATGACTAGGGAATGTCAGATCTCCACCAAGCGTCCGCGCTCCATGTTACAGGTGAGTGTTGTAGAGTGATGACTAGGGAATGTCAGATCTCCACCAAGCGTCCGCGCTCCATGTTACAGGTGAGTGTTGTAGAGTGATGACTAGGGAATGTCAGATCTCCACCAAGCGTCCGCGCTCCATGTTACAGGTGAGTGTTGTAGAGTGATGACCGGGGGGTGTCAGATCTCCACCAAGCGTCCACGCTCCATGTTACAGGTGAGTGTTGTAGAGTGATGACTAGGGAGTGTCAGATCTCCACCAAGCGCCCGCGCTCCATGTTACAGGTGAGTGTTGTAGAGTGATGACCAGGGGGTGACAGATCTCCACTAAGCGTCCGCGCTCCATGTTACAGGTGAGTGTTGTAGAGTGATGACCAGGGGGTGACAGATCTCCACCAAGCACCCGCGCTCCATGTTACAGGTGAGTGTTGTAGAGTGATGACCAGGGGGTGACAGATCTCCACTAAGCGTCCTCGCTCCATGTTACAGTTAAGTGTTGTAGAGTGATGACTAGGGAGTGTCAGATCTCCACCAAGCGCCCGCGCTCCATGTTACAGGTGAGTGTTGTAGAGTGAAGACTAGGGGGTGTCAGATCTCCACCAAGCGTCCGCGCTCCATGTTACAGGTGAGTGTTGTAGAGTGATGACCGGGGGGTGTCAGATCTCCACCAAGCGTCCGCGCTCCATGTTACAGGTGAGTGTTGTAGAGTGATGACCAGGGGGTGACAGATCTCCACCAAGCACCCGCGCTCCATGTTACAGGTGAGTGTTGTAGAGTGATGACCAGGGGGTGACAGATCTCCACTAAGCGTCCTCGCTCCATGTTACAGGTTAGTGTTGTAGAGTGATGACTAGGGAGTGTCAGATCTCCACCAAGCGCCCGCGCTCCATGTTACAGGTGAGTGTTGTAGAGTGAAGACTAGGGGGTGTCAGATCTCCACCAAGCGTCCGCGCTCCATGTTACAGGTGAGTGTTGTAGAGTGATGACCGGGGGGTGTCAGATCTCCACCAAGCGTCCGCGCTCCATGTTACAGGTGAGTGTTGTAGAGTGATGACCAGGGGGTGACAGATCTCCACCAAGCGTCCGCGCTCCATGTTACAGGTGAGTGTTGTAGAGTGATGACCGGGGGATGTCAGATCTCCACCAAGCGTCCGCGCTCCATGTTACAGGTGAGTGTTGTAGAGTGATGACTAGGGAGTGTCAGATCTCCACCAAGCGCCCGCGCTCCATGTTACAGGTGAGTGTTGTAGAGTGATGACCAGGGGGTGACAGATCTCCACTAAGCGTCCGCGCTCCATGTTACAGGTGAGTGTTGTAGAGTGATGACCGGGGGATGTCAGATCTCCACTAAGCATGGATGATAATTTTGTTGTTGTAGCTCAATACTCATTAAACATGTTAAAACAGCATCAAGCTACCCTGGTCTCTTTCAACTAGCTGTTTGTTAGCACAACAATCTGAAATACCATCTCATTATTATGGTAATAGTCACTGATTTTGAGTATATCTATATGATCACAGTTAATTACATTCAGTCATACGTTACCACTGTTATACTGAGGCTGTTGTCTCCCGAAACTGCTGCTATAGCGAAATCTACCGCAGAGATCTCAATTAGCTCATGCAGCATGTGCGTAGCCACGACGTACAAAAAGACTGCTGTAGCGTTCCTGTTTCTCTGACCATTCGGTGATATTTATTACTGTTTATTGTCTCTAATAAACTGTGCTTTACGGGGCGTTTGCTGTAACTATGCTTGGAAATATTTTTCCCACCAGAAGGAAAAAAATTTCCCGCCCTTTTTTCTATGTTTTATGTGTATGTTCTATATTTGCATTGCTCGTTTATTTTCTTGTGAAAATGCTCGTTTGTGAATATTTGTGGTGCGTGTGTTGTAACCATGTTTTGCTCTTTGTTCATAGTACAAACAAAATGTCTGACATGGATGTTTCGCCGTCCCCGACCCCCTCTACCCCCGCTACCAGGAATTGCGGGGTGTGCCGCAAAATTCTGTCCTCCCGGGATCCCCACGATTGTTGCCCACGGTGCAGGGTTCCTTGTGGGGACACCTGGTGCGCCCAGTGCGAGGGTCTGTGGCCTGTGGCGTTCGAGCGCTACATGCTGTATGTGCAGTCTGTTTCCACCCCTGTGGTGGCCGACTCGTCCGGTCGGGGAAGAAGCCCCGCCGTGAGGGCTCTGGTTAGGGCTCTCAGCAGCCCTTTCGAGGGAAGAAGGGGAACTGGGGGAAGCCCAAGCCGTCTAAGGAAGGCAAGGGCCCCTCCAGGTGACTCTCACTGGAGGGTTTGTATGCCGACAGTGCCAACTTCGGTTGGCCCATAGGCGAACCCGAGTCACTCAGCCCTGGACAGTTGTGTCTGCCGCAACCAGTCAGGCCCCCCTCTCCTTCCCCGGTGGGAGCCAGACTCCAGACTTAATCAACACGATCCGGTACGGCTATCGGCCAGATTTCAAGGCGGATCCGCCGCTCACCGTTGCCCCGTTTGCAGGTTTCTATTCGGAAACCGATCTTCCCATCCTTGCCAATGTCATCGGCAGGTTGGTGGAGAAGAAGGCGGTACGGGAGTTAGCCCTACCAGAAATAACACCAGGGTTTTACTCCAGGATACTTCTCGTTCCCAAGAAGGACAGTGCCAAACACATAATGATTCACAATCTGAAATCGTTCAACGAGTTTTACCTGCACAAGCCGCCCAAGTTCAGAATGTTGACCTTGGCGGACTTGAAAGCTCTGATCATGCCCCCCGACTGGCTCGCTTCGATCGACCTGAAGGATGCTTATCTGCATGTTCCGATTCACTCGGACAATCACAAGTATCTCAGGTTTGTCTTTCAAGGCAGGCATTACGAGTGGGTTGCACTCCCATTAGGCCTATCGTCCGCTCCCTGGCTGTTCACCTGGTTAACCACCCCCACAGTGGGGTTCCTTCACAGGAGGGGTGTCAGGTACTTTGCGTACCTGGACGACTCGCTAGTAGCAAATCAGATGACAGACGTGCTGTCTCATCAGCTCGATTTCGCACTTCGTCTCTTGGAGCAATTGGGGTGGATTGTCAACCTCCCCAAGAGCGAGTTAACCCCCTCACAGAACTTGAAGTTCATCGGAGGTCGGTTCGACATGGTGTCCCATCGCCTCTTTGTCCCTCCTAGACCAGTGGCACAAGATTCAGGTGATGATTGCCAAAGTCTTAGCGGTGCAACAGACTGTTCACTTTTGGGAACAGCTGTTAGGGCTATTTGTGTCAGCCCACGACTGCACCGATCAGGGTCGTCTACAACTCCGCCCGCTGCAACGGTTTCTAATCCAGTTGTTGGCGCAGGAGGAGAACAGTGCGACCGTCGCCCTCCCGGATCGGCTCCAACCGCATCTGGAGTGGTGGACAGTCCCTTGCAACGTCTTATCAGGACTCTCTGTATACAGATGCCTCTCTAGTGGGCTGGGGGACCCGACATCCACGGAGTGAATGCTCAACCCAGTAGTGTTTCAGTGGCTGTGCGAACGTCTGGGTCGTCCAATGGTTGACCTGTTCGCAACCAGGTTCAACAATCAACTCCCGTTGTTTGTGTCACCAGTCCCGGACCCGAGGGCCATTGATCACGATTTTTTCGCGTTAGACTGGACGGGCATGGACGCTTATGCTTACCCGCCGACGGAGTTAATACCACTCATTCTAAGCCGGCTCCGAGGAGTTCGCTGTCGAATGTTGCTGATCGCACCCATGTGGCCGAACAGATCGTGGTACCCCGACTTGCTGGCCCAGGTCAGTTGCCACATCCACTGCCTGTGAGACCAGATCTCCTGATCCACCCTCACACACGCTTCATCCAAACGCAGGGCAGTTCAATCTGCACGCGTGGATGTTGTCACCGAGCGTCTGAGGAGTAAAGGTTTTTCTCGTTGGGCGTCTCGGGCATATGTAAGTATGTATCGTGATTCTACCCAGAAGGTGTATAATGCATGTTGGGTTATTTTCATGAGGTGGTGTTGTAAACATCACATTCATTCGCCAGATAAGGTATCTGTGCAGGATATTGCTCGTTTCATGTCTCACTTATGAGAGACCCAGAAACTCTCCGGGGGTTCCATTGCCAACTATGTCTCTTCTGTTGCTACGGTAAGGGACGTTGCTATGGGTACCAGTCTCTCAAAAGAGCCGGTGATTCGGGGTATTATCAAGGGTTTCAAACAGCAAGATCTTAAGAAAGGCCCAGGCCACCTGGGATCTTTCCTTAGTGTTGAAATCACTTACGGAAGCTCCGTATGAACCCTTGAGTAGTGCTTCATTTCGGCATGTGACTTGGAAAACAGCATTTCTCCTCTCCTTTGCCACGGCGGCACGTGTGTCTGAGATTCATGCACTCGATGTCACTAAAGTACGATTCGATAGGGGCGACGAAGGAGCGGTATGCCTGGGCCTGCTCATGGGCTTCGTCGCTATGAATCAGAATTTTGGCCAAACGGAGAGTGTGAATTCAGTGTTAGATCACTCAAAGAAATCTTACATCCTGCTGATACTGAGGACAGATCACTGTGTCCCGTTAGGGCCCTTAAGTATTATCTTAAGGCTTCGAATGAATGCAGACAAGGGCGTGACCGTCTGTTCGTATCGTGTAATCCTAATCGGACTGCTGAAATAACTCGCAACTCGATTGGTTATGGCTTCGTTCTGTCATCAATCTGACGTACTGGTCTCGGGGGTTACCGGCTGCGGGGTCAAACCCGCACGAGATCAGGATGCTAGCGGCAACATTTGCCCTACACTCTAAGGTGTTCACAGAATATTGCGAGGTTGTTACTGGCGTTCTGACTCGGTATTTGCCAATCATTACCTCAGAAAGGTTTCTGATGAAGACGTGGAGGGTGTGCACCGTCTTGGGTCGCTGATCGCGGCACAAGCGGTCTTGTAAGGGGTGTGCCCAGCGCAATTCCGAACTCCTCAGGCTTCAGACCTTGCACGGTGGTCAATCTGGGTCTTCTCCAATGTTCCCACCGCTGTGGGTACAGGAGTGGGGGTCCCACAAACCAGCGCACTCACACAACAGGTGAGGGCGGCTTTTTGTGTGTTTTGTCCTTATTTGTATTTTGACAATTATGTATTTAATTGTCTGTTGTGTATCCAAACCTTGTGATGCATGCTTACAAATACTGGAATTAGGTCACGCGCCTAATGCATACTTTAAGTAGGCTTGCTCTGGGATATACGGTCCGAATGAAATTAATTTCCCTCTTTTCGACTGTTTAACCTGATCTAAGATTTAGCTCACACAGATACTGTGTTCTCATCCGCTGCGGCGATGAAATACCTATCCAGTGGGGCCATTTGGAGTCACCAATCGTTTGGCAAAGACGATTGAGCCTTACGGTATGCGCTTGACAGTGCTTTGGTATTCCTATAGGGTAACGCCGAGCTAGGAGCATGCGCATCGAGTGCTTCCGCCTTGTTGTTTACTTCTGCTGGTCTGAAGGAACACGGGCAGTCAGGTTCGGGTTGTAGGTGCTCCCCACCGCCTACTGTGGTAGTCAGCCTCGGTATAACAGTGGTAACATATTACTTAATGTAATTTGTAGAATGTTCCTATTCGGAATATTCTATAATAATACGTTACCACTGGGCTGATGCCCGCCCGTCCGTCCCCCGAGCACTTGCTCTCTCGCTAGAGACAAGAGTGAAGGGTGTCACATGGCAGCTAGATGGCTACGCACATGCTGCATGAGGTAATTGAGATCTCTGTGGTAGATTTCGCTATAGCAGCAGTTGGAGACAACAGCCTCGGTATAACAGTGGTAATGTATTTCTTATAGAATATTCCGAATAGGAAAATTCTACAAATTTTACCTTCTGAATATATATGATCCCACTGCGTGAACGACATCACTGGACAAAATGTCATCCATTCCAAACAATCCCAAACTTGGAAATACCACCATATCCAAATGGAAATATGACCATTCCAAAATTTGTCAAGGTCATATTTCCAAGCTTGGATTTGTTTGGATTTGTTTGGATATGTTTGGATACAACATGTCATAATCATATCTGTTAAACGTTGTACAACGTGAGATTAGTTATGACATGAAAGTAAATAATTAAGAGTATTTTGGCACTGTTTACCACAAAAAGACCAAATCATGAGCAAATTTAAATAAATGAATTTCTGTCATTTAAAGTGGCTACTCTTTATATTTAATTTCTTATCTTCCTTGTCTATAATCATATGACATTGACTATGAACTTTGAACAATTAAACAAATATTTTGTTTTCCCATACCGACTTACGGTTGTCGTAGAACGTTTCGAGAATAAAGGGCCTCATTATTATAATTTGAACTAATATACATATTTACACAATAGTACTAGGTATAAATGAATTTTGATAAGTGCATGTTCGTACAAGAATATGAACTTCGAATTATCCCGGAATTATGCGCAACACATAGGGCGGGAAATTGTATAATTGGTCTGGAACTCTCTGACGGTATTCAAAACAGGGAACAAGATTTTGTCAAATGAATCATTGAGCCAGGAATGCATCGATTTAAATGCTGACAAAATGAATAAACATATCTGGAAAAGAGTAGACTGTTCATGCGGACAATTATATGCTACGTCTATTGCCAATGAAGTTTATCACCCCATGTTATAGCATTTGTTTCATATAAAAGATAGAAGCCAAATAAATGGGATAATTAGTTGTTATAAATTAGCTTTACCTCTGTGACATTTACGCAACTAAAGGTGAATATGTTTATCAAATAATCAATTACAGTAATTAACCTAGTGTCCTTATTTATACACAATTTAATTACGTATTGGGGTACAATATATAATACACATATACACGGAATGATTTCTTATTTTGTGAATTTAATCATAACCCAAATCATACAAATCGAACATGTGAAAATAAAAGTAGTGACTAACTTTATGATCAAGGGTATAAATACTCAATTGTATCTATTAATCCTAATAGCATAACAATAAATCCTGTGTATTTACTGAGCATATTTAGATACATCCGGATCTACGACCGCAGTCATATAATCAATCAAGGAAAGTATATAAAATTGAATTAAAAATGTGCTATCACTGAAACAAAATTCACCGTTATCCACGTGAGCCTAAACCTAGGAGAAATAAAGTTCTGTTATGTTCAAGATGCCGTCATGATTAGTTTGCGCCAGTCTAGACTGTCCAATCAACGTGAATATACAAACCGTGATGTTACTTGACCAGTTGATGACACCTGTCAACTCAAAGTGCCCCTGGTCCTCCACCCACCATGTGTAATACTTTAGCGCACTTGATTGTTTTATTTGTAGTTATATCACTGTTAGGCTGAGTGATGAGAGAATACACTTTGTTGTTTTTGTTAACGATCTTTTCCATTTTCAACGTGGTAACCTTATAAGTGGCTAACTTTCTTGTCATGATGAATTGAAACATTAAAATAATCAGACGGACTGACGATCGCATTTTTCGCATAAATGTCATGCTCGCATTAATTTCATGATTTACTGAAGATAGATTTGAAGTTTGTTTGGGTAAGGGAAGTAATCTTGTCTCCGCTTGCAATTGGATTCAATCGGGCGAGCAGTACCGAGATCGCAGCTTGACTGTTCGATACGGCCGAAAGGCGGCATCCATGTTGTTCACGCTCTGCTGATCACGGGGCCTCATTTGTCTGTATTCTGCTTATGAGCCGGGATGCGCATGAAACACGGGTGTCAAAACCAATATAGTTACCAATTATATGTACGGTCAATTAGCCAGTTCAAGAGACAATACCCTGGTTCTACCACCTTTAGGTGTAATTACGTCGCATGCCCCTGGTTCACGGTTCGTCTGATCTCCCGTTATAAAACCACAATGTTTATTTACCTCTGACAGCGCCGACTTCCTGTGTACATGTACATACATGGCAATAAATGGTTTGACAGTTGTTTGACGGAATCAGTCAATAATTATTGACACAGTGATGTAATTAAAATTTGTCACTATTCACAACTCCTATTTTGATTTTTCTATTAATCAGCTGTATTTTCGATCAGTTTTATATGTATAAAAAATCTTCTCTAGTATTTATAAACCAAACCTAAAAACATTATATAAGAACAACTGTGTTTTTGGAACGTAAGTTTTCTATTAAAACAACCATGCAAGTAAGATTTTGTGAAGGCAGTTAGAGCAGACAAATTACCCCCCCCCCCCCCCCCGCTGTATAATGACGGTCGCTAACCATATATATGTATTTTTTGTGTTTTTGGCTTGATTTGATTGTCCTGGTAAATATTTATTAAATGCATGTCCTGTTTTGTATATATGTATATATTATTATGTTAATATGGACAATGGTAAAATTCATTATCACAGTTAAAGTGCTATTCACAAATGTATGTAAATCTGCTTCGTGATGAATGAAGCATGGCAATACATGTATGCATCTGATTTTTTCATTTGTTCTGTATTCTTTGATGACAATGAGTTTCGTTAATGATGATCACTCTCACAGATTATTTGATAAGAGGATATGACTTTAACTGGAGAATAGTTATGAAAAATATATATAAAAGTATAGGCGGTCTGTGCGAATGTGGTGAAACTGATACCTCATTGATTTGATAATCGGGACTTGGAAATCACAGTCTGTCATTAAATTGATTTTAAAATATATGGTTTTGACTGTAGTACGTCCTGACATGATAATATTATGTTGTAAACAACTTATCTTATCTTATGTTAAGTAAAACAATTATTGATAACTTCCTGAATTCCAATTGTTCAATGAACAGAATTATTCAAAGCTTTTATGATCTTAGGTACATGTCGGCGCACTTACATGTGAGCCGTCTAGACGACTGTCTGTTTTATAATTAAATGGCAGCTGCCATCCAGCCGAATACTTAATCTTGAGACTTATTATTGTCTTGTTGAGTCAAGTGCGGGTCTCTCTCTCACCTTAGGGAGAATGCGACTGTAAAAGCCCCTCGCTAGACAGACAAGTAGTGAATGTTTGAGATAAGTTTATTATTCATTATGTATAGTTTAAACTCAATAGATAATTCATAGTCTTTTTATTGTTCAAATTACTAATAAAACATATTTTAACTTGTTACTTCTAAACATACTTCCAAACCATTCCAAACCATTCCAAACATTTCCTGCGTTGGAAATATGTTTGGAAATGTTGCCAATCCAATTTTGGATTTTCTGTAAAGATCGATCCTTCCAAGCTTTGGAAATGTTGGAATGAGCGATCTTTCCAAAGCAATCCAACCTTCATTCCAAATTGGAATGGACGCTCCTTGGTCTTGTGCATGTATTGCGTCAAGCCCCCTCTTGTCCTGTGTCCCCCCCAGACATCCAGTACGATGTGGCACATGCGTTGATGAGATGGGTGTACACTGACGAGATCAACATCAAGGTGGAGGACTCCTTTCTCCTTCAGCTGCTCCGAGCTGCCACCAAGTTTAAGCTTGAGGCTCTCCGTGTCAGGTAATTACTGTATTTTCTTTTGTTTTATGAACACTTCTTAAAAAATACAGCTGTTTCGAGTGGGTTGATGAGTACAATGAGTTTTAATGTTTTTCCCTCCATTGACATTACTGAGAGCATGAAACACCGGAAATAGAATGTCAACAAATACATACTGAAGTATGCAAATTACTCCTGTTATTATCATGATTATACTATCTGGTTATATGGTGTTCATGGTATATTTGGACTTATGTTTGTAATCTATTTTACTGTTTTAAACACTGAACGTTCATATAGCTTCCTCAGTCACACGTTATATATCCTGTTGATACCCTGAACAGTGGTTCATACAGCTTCCTCTTTCAAAAGTTCTATATATCTTGTTGATGCCTGAACAGTGGTTCACACAGCTTCCTCAGCCACATGTTATATATCCTGTTGATACCCTGAACAGAGGTTCATACAGCTTCCTCAGCCACATGTTATATATCATGTTGATACCTGAACAGTGGTTCATACAGCTTCCTGAGCCACATTTTATATATCATGTTGATACCTTGAATAGTGGTTCATACAGCTTCCTCTTTCAAAAGTTATGTATCCTGTTGATACCTGAACAGTGGTTCACACAGCTTCCTCTTTCTCAAAAGTTATGTTTCCTATTGATACCTGAACAGTGGTTCATACAGCTTCCTGAGCCACATTTTATATATCATGTTGATACCTTGAATAGTGGTTCATACAGCTTCCTCTTTCAAAAGTTATGTATCCTGTTGATACCTGAACAGCTCATAGCCACTGGCTCTGTAATCATGTGGTGTCATGGAAGCAGGTTATTAAGGATACATTGTAAATAGTTCTAGTGGTTTGATATCATCTATTGTAACATGGGTTTGGTTGTATTGGAAATCTGCAAACAAATTGTCGCTAATATTAACATGGGCAATATATATACTGACAATATACGAATCCACAGAGATGTCATAGAAATACTTCCTATAGTCTGTCTTCCAGACCCTAGAGAATAGAAAGAAGTCCATCTCAAGTCTAGATTGCATGGGCTTTATTTGGATTTTGATTTATTTTGTAGTTATATATTTTGTAATAAGGCAGTAATTGCCTCATCTACTACTGATGCCAGAGGAGATATTTGTCTGATATTTTCATACCGTGTGTTGCAGGTGTGAGAATGGCTTGATGTCATTTGTGAATATGAAGAACTGCATCAAGTTCTACCAGACGGCTGAGGAGATGGGGGCAGAGGTGTTGAAGAAACACTGCTCTGAACTCATCTCTAACCACTGGGTATGCAGTCACTTGATAAGCAGGACATCAACTCTTATCTTTTACCTGGACAGCAATTTCATTTTTATGGCTAGCAAGTTTAATTTTACTTCATTTTCAAAACAGCAGGCTGTATATGTATATTATCATGATAATCAATCTTTGTGTTGAATCTAGTACATATGACACTGTTGAACAGATGTTCTGTGTATGTTTAAATTTCCATTTCTCTGCATTCTTCTCTGTCTGGTGTATTAAATACATTAGGCTTTATTAGGGTGTGTCCTCTGGACCTATGACAACATTAGCCTAGTTTGGAGGGAAGTAGTCCGTGGGGTGTTCCTGATAATGGAGATGGTGATGTCGCTTCCCTCACAAAGCTATGGTGGCAAATCGTAAAATTAATTTAATGTAATGATCATTCATGTTGAGGTCTTGACAATGTCTCTGCATCCAATATGAGTGATTTGTTTTCAGAATGACTTCACAAGTGAAGATTTCGTTTACATGCCTGCAGCGCTGCTGTATAAGATGTTCAAGACGAAGACAGAGTATCCCCTTCACACGGCCATCCGAGCACAGCGAGAAGATGTTGTATTTCTCTATCTTATAGAATATGATGCCCAGGTTAGCAGAAGAAGCTGTTTCTATTACTTTCCCCCCCCCGGATAGTCTAACCCCTTAGTTTAAGAATTGATCACATGAAAATGGATATAAACCTTGATTCATAAGCTAGGTATTCCAGGCTAGAATTGTTCTCCTGTAACCTAGGCTTGTTGTGAAAGTGAAATGAATCCATTGGTCAACACTTTGTCCTGAAAACAGTTGAGGTTGTCGTGGAAACAGTTTGTGTTGGGTACACAGGGTTTCACATCCTATGACCCAAAAGACAGTAGAATATTGTACAGATAAGTAAAATAGCCTAAACCTTTCCTGGCTGATTCATACGTGGTTATGATATTGTGGTCATTTTTTTTATCGTGTGACAAACTGACCTTTTGAAATTATCCTCAACATTTTCAACATTTCAAGCTTATGTTTCAAGTTATGTTTCTCCATGGACATTCTGGGTGAGAATAGGTCCATGGCACACCATTCTTACCACAAGAACTGACACAATGAGGATTCGATTAGACCTGGCTGATTCTGTCATCATTCCAGGATAGGATGAATTGTTGTTCATGTTATCAACCACTGGTTTGCCTTATCCAGACTTGACTGGTTTAAACTGCCATGCACTGACTGTTTGCTAAGTGACTCCCAGGTTGGAGTGTGGATACAATACATCTGTTCTGTCTTCTTCAGCTGTCCGTCAAGCTGAATGAAGTAGACAATCGAGGGGATGTATCGTTAGACCTTGCACTGCAGACCAAGCAGGAAGGAATTGCACAGACGCTGGTTGGACACAAAGCAGACGTCAACAAGAAAGATAACTCTGGAAAATGTCTTCTTCACAAAGCTATAAAAAGAGGTATCATTTTTCCCAATGTTAGTTCAGTGAAATCATTACATTTATCATAATGAAAATAATGTTAGGACTAAATGAAATATTGTGTTCCAATTGCATTTTGGGTAGGTGCTCTTCTTTTTCTGTGACCCCTCCAACATCTGTATAAATTGTGTTTATATATGGGATAGATGGATTTGTTCTGTTTTTAAGAATGGCAAAAACTGCAGTGATGATTACAAATGGGAAAATGTCCCTTTGAGTTATTAATCTATTCCTTTCCAAAATTTAGGAGATGAGTTTTCTGCAAGGTTTTTGATCACGAACAGTGCTGATGTCAACCTGACAACTCACCTAGACAAGGAAACTCCTCTCCACATGGCTGCCTGCTTCAACCCCGACGTCACCAGCCCCGACACCATGGCTGGCATGGCACGCACCGCTCAACTGCTGCTGGACAATGGGGCAGACGTCAGCGCGCAGGATACAGCGGGGAGGTAGTTCATATACTGATTTCAGAAAAAAGGAAAATTAATGTGTGAAGTGGAAGTATTCAATGCTCTTCTAAAAAAAATATTTTATACACATATATTTTATGCATATTAATAAAAAATGTTTTGTACATACTGATCCTCCAAAATGAAAAGTTCAAATGGAATAAATGTTTATTCTGCTGAATGAAACTTGTTTGTTGAACAAGAACGTGTTAAATTGCAACATTGATTTGGCTGGCATGAAGGTAAAATAAAAATATACGCAAGAAATATTGTTCTCCAGTGAACCTAGACTGAGCATGCTTTTGATGGTTGGTATATCACATCGACTTCACCATGTTCTCATTCAGACTGGTTAAAACTGTCATACATCATATGCAGTGTATTCATGCATGAAGATACAATGTTGCTGTTTGTTATTCATGATTATTGATTTAGTTCATTTGCATATTTAGCAGCTCCATGAAAAAAGGTTTTGTTGAATTTGGCAGCTACCGCTTGTAACCTTTGTAAGGCCTACCAGTACTACTACTACACAAAGATGATTGACATTAGATAATATTCTTCCATGGACTTCTTCCAAATTGCGCTGGGGAATTTCTTTAGCAAATGTCATTCAAAGGTCCAGGTGATGCAGGTGATGAGAGTATTCATGCATTAATCATTAAACTTGGTATATGTCCTCTTTAGGATGGGGTCCTGCTTTTACAAGGTTTGGGTTAGGAGTAATCTACAGTCTTGGTTATATCATTATCAGCTCGTGTGGCATGGTTACCTCTGCCATGTCTACAGGTGGGAAACTGTACATGTGCATGCAACTAATAGATATGTATATCAAAGGTCAAGGTCATCTCTGAGGCTATTGTGAAGCAAAGTTGCATCATCCATTACCAGTTTCTGTTGTACTTGTACAATCATCAGTCTCAGAAAGTTGTTGTTTTATTAAGTAGTTGCCTTGATTATGGTCAAGGCTTGGAAGTAAAATGTTCAGACAGAAAATACATGGTATGTTACGATTATGGCGGGTTTGAGGATATTGGGGTGAAGGGGATGATTCTGCGTTGACTCTAAATGGTATTTTCTGTCATGGCCTGCCTAATTTTGTTGTTTCTTGACTACTTCCTGCCCTTCATCAGGTTAGACAAACAATAAGAAGTTGTTGCCCATTGTGTCTTTATGTTGTACCAACTACTAAATGCAAGTCAATTGTTATTTTTTCAGTACATGTCTACACAGTGCAATATTTTGCAAGAATGTGCCAGTATTTCAAGTCCTTCTGAAGCAAGGGAAACTAGATCTTGAGATCAAGAACACTGATGGCCACACAGCTCTCTGGCTTGCTCTTCAGCAGGTGTGGTCACTGGTAGATCTGTTCTTATGACACTGTACAAATAACTACTGAGGCCATTTTCTTCATTATCTTGTTTGTTTCTGCATAGCGTATTTCAACAAATATTACATTGCAATATAACCAAAAACAAATTAATATCTGCTGTTAATGAAAGGTCTGAAAGGCAAGGCAAAGACTAACTGAACATTTTATCTTATTCTGCATTACTAACTTAATGCTTCTACTGCTGTTGTTTTGACATAGGAGACGGAGCTGTGAGAGGTCCTGGCTGCAGAAGTTGTAGTACCAACTAGTTGTGTGGCTTCCTCCCTCCCACAGCTACCACGTAACCGGAAGTGGCGATGTTATGTATAATCACATCATTGCTAGTCATCGGACGTTTGAGACTAAAACTCCCCAGTTTGAAGAACCAGATAGCATTCTTTGCCTATCCTTTTGCTTATCCTTTGATAACCAATAAGTTCTCAATTGCATATGTTATAGTCTGGTGTACTAGGGTGGTCTTTTCAGGCTTATGTAATTATGCCTGACTTGGGCTCTTTTCTGCGCTTACTTCGCACATGTGTTGTACCATCCGTCATCTTGTTTTGCCACGTTGAACCATGTCTTGTCCTTTGATAATTCAATATGTCTATCATAGCTTTTGTTTATGTGCTAAATACTTTTTCTGTTCTGAACCTGTACTCTTTATATTGTAATTTCTCAAATGCCCGTCCTAATTTGTTGAAGTGTGTCTATTCTGCTTGCAACATTCGTCTATTTCTTTGAAATTAGGTGTCGGGGCAATAAATCAGCCAAGGATCCACACACCCGGTGCACTGATTGTATGGTTCCTTGTTCCTTATTTTTGCTGTGTCAGTTTTGCCGCGATCCATCCCCTGGTGACTTTGTTGTACACCTCAGGGTTTTGAGAAAATGACACACACAATGTGTCCACAGGCATCCCCAGATGGCCAACCACAGGGACACTTAGCCGATCAAGTCAACACTGAGACACTATTATCCCCAACTATGCCGCAATCATCACTAATAGAGCAGTGCCTCTCCTCCCCACTGTCCTCTATTGCATTCATGCCCCCCGTGTCTGCGTCTATGATCACCTTTTTGTCATCAGCGCCAGCTTACCCAGTGCTGCTGCCTCTTATGCCTCCCGGTTTCGACTCGTTCCCTACACTGTATTTGGATCCTGCCTTGGTTCATTAGATTCAATCCATGTACCCATCTTCTGTGGTTCAGGTGTCTCCTCTGCCGCCTGCGGCACCTCCAGTTTTCACCATACCTATACTGGCGCTTCCAGCTATCATGACATTATTGACTACTCCAGTGCCATCGCCGCCCATAGCACCATTGGTGCCCATAGCACCATCTGTGCCCATGGCACCATTGGTGCCCATGGCACCTCCAGGCTTTCAACCATCAATCAGTATACCTCCAGCATTTATGGTGCATCTGGGTGCCGCCAGCCTACACATCTCCGCTACCTTACGCAGCCCCTAGTTTGTCCTTGGCTCCTTTAGATGACGCCAGTACACCTCGTCGGTCTCATACCTGTGGCTCTATCTCTCCCGGGTCATACTTCCTGATCCTCTCACTCCAGATGTCGGTCCCATAGTCATTCCCTGCTTCGTCGATAGTGTGACTATCATTTGGACTCTTCGACAAGTAGACTGCGTTGGAGTTGACACGCACCTGGGACTGGATGGCGGACCGGTAGTCCTTAGTCACCCCCTCCCCGGGTCCAAATGTTGATCTACTTGATCCCATGCTTACGCCAACCGCTCTGCGTATGCCCAATACCTGGCTCTCCTTTGTTGAGATTGAAATTCACCGTTCACTCAAGCCCTTATGTGTCTTGGCCTCATCAGACAGAGCCATTGATCAAGATCTTACCGTGGACAATCCTAATCAAGCCGATCATCAAGTCGATTACTGTGATGTAATTTCAACAACATCAAATCGACAATTTATGTAATCATTTCCTGAGTTAAATAGGCAACTTCTACATCAGCCCTGGAGTGCATCCACGCTATTCAATGGCTCTATTTCTGAAACCTACAGCTACAGTGTCTACAGTTACTTCAGCTTTGCCCCGGATGAAACGAAACGTAAAGCTTTTGAGCATGTCTACAATCAGTCCAAATTTAAACCAGCTCAAACAGGCAATTATCAGCCTATGTGCACTTCTATTAAGGCTTCCCCTCAGGCTTCTTTTTCCTTTCGTCTCAAACGTCAAGACCGAACAAAGTCACAAGGCCATTAACAACCCTGCATGGCGCCAACGCCAACAGGGGTGGTGACCGCAGAGGCAGGTGCTGACGCCCTGGCGCCTGACGCCTCGGATTTCCCACCCCCAGTCATCCCAGGCATAGACACACCAGTAGGTGGCAGATTGGGCAGGTTTTGGGCCTGTTGGACAATTCTCCATGATCCACTTGTCATCATCATCATTTGTCAGGGATACCAGTTCTCTCTCACCGCCTCGTCAGGCTCAGCTCTTGCTCCAGACCATTCAGCTTCTAGTACTCAAGCAGGCGGTCGAGATTGTTCCTGATCCAGTGGCACATCCAGGATTTCATTCCCCAGTGTTCAAGTTCATAGCCGGTTTCGTACGACAGGTGGCACAAAATACAGCACCCTGTGTCAATAGCAGGTAGTAATGGGCCTTCTCAGCTCAGGATCTGACAGCCAGAGACCAACTGAGACCAACTACGTTCATTACTGTAGTTTCTGGCCCCATTTATTCGTCGGCAGAATCCAAGGATTACTATAGGACTCACCTCCTCCCGTATTGAATGTCTGCAGTGGTGCGCCCTTGACAGCGCTCAAGCCTTCACTCCACCTTTTTGTTGATGCCTCACGACAGGGTTGGGGGGCAGATCTTGAGGACCAGGCTGCCTCTGGACTGTGGTCAAACAATGAGCTTCGGTGGCACATAAACAATTTCGAACTCGAAGCACTCATCCTGGCCATGTCTCACTGGCAGTCCCGCCAAGTGCTCGCCATATCCACAACATCACGGCCGTCTGGTGTCTTCGCAACCAGGGGACTCCTCACCTCCCTTCTGCCTCCGACCTTCGGGTTCTTCCAGTTTTTGGATGGACTACACATGAGGTTCATCGTCCTGCACATCCCCAGTTGTCACAACATCCTGGCAGACATACTCTCCGAAACCTGACAAAGTGGCTCTCACCGAGTGATTACCCCAGAGTATGTTTCATGTTTCCGCATATACCAGCTGAATGAATCGGAATTCAGAACTTGGCTGACACCCTTTTCTACTTTTCCTGTTTTCGATGACTGGATTTCACACCTCATACTCTACTTTGTGTGGCTCTATCGGACAGGAAGGTCTATGGTTTCTGTTTTTCCTGCCCCGGATGCTATCTGGTTACCCAGACTGGTTGGAGGGTCTATCATAATTCCATCTGAAAGGTACGACCCCCTCCGTTCCGTCTGATGAGGATGCATTCAAGTCGTAATGCAGGATAAGATAATTATTTTTGTAAAATCAAAATACTTTTTTACATTTGGATACTTATCCTGCATTACTACATCCACAGAGACCTCCCATCGCTTTGCTACCTCCCAACGAAGTTCTAGAGATGTAGTTACTAGCAGTGATGTGGTGTTCCGGTCCTGTAGTAGCTGTGGGAGGAAGGAAGCCACACAACTGGTTGGAACACCATTTCTGTAGCCAGGACCTCAAACAGCTCCGTCTCCTAAGTCAAAAGAACAGCAGTAGAAGTATTAAGATAGTAATGCAGTATAAGTATCCAAATGTAAAAAATATTTAGATTTTACTACTTTGTTATCTAAAGGCCTTTATGTTCCTTCAGCCACGGGACTCCTCAGGTGATGTGACAAAGACGTATGGTGAAGAGAGTTTTGCTGCCCAGCTGTTGAAGGCTGGGAGTTCCCCCGACGCCATCGAACCCGACTCTGGGGACAGCCTGCTCCATCTGGCAGCCAGGGACGGTAACCAGGCCGCCGGGATCTTCCTGGCCACACACAAAGCCAGCGTCAGTCACGCCAATAATAAGGTAAGACTTTCATAAACTCACGTTGATCTGTCACACATCGTGTCACACATTTCACACAGACAATTTAAGATATAGTTTTTGCATGTGATTATCAGGGAGTTTTAACTAATCAGGCTGACACAAAGTACAGTCAAGTCTCATTAATCTGACACTCGTTAATCCAACAATCAGCTTTATCCAACTAATGATGGAACTGATTAAGTCAGTGCTATTTAGACTCATTAGTCCGACAGTCTCGCACTCCGACTCCGACACATCTAATTTGCAACGAATTACCCAAATCACTCATTAATCAGTCTCGTCAATCCGACACAGTGATCAGCGTTCCGTGGTCATCTGCCCGCAAAGTACACAGCCCGTGTTTTGATGCGAGACGAGTCGGATAGTAGCTGCATATTACAACCTCTGTAGAAGTAAACTTGCCTTACAATAAACAGTTAGTGCTTTATATAAAGAAAACAGGATTAATCACATGCTTAGATTACCTCAATCTCATTTAAATTAGATACAAGTTCTCGTGATGGCCGAGGACATCTCATTAGAGGTCACGTCACAACAACCTTTCGCGAACTATGACCGACCAATGAAATGACTAACAGGAAGTCAACGTTAGCCACTAAGAAAGCAGCTTTCTTTAGCTTTCAAACTGGCGACTTCCATTCCAGACTATGCTTTTTAAAGTATTTCGAATAAGTCATGCAGTCAGTAACAGTTGTTTTGTATTAAGCTTTAGAGATTGCACAATTAGAAAACATATTCTGCTAACAATGTAACATAACAATATGAATATATCATGTTTTAGTCTGTTTTCAGTTGTACAAATGGGTATCTCATACCTCTAGTCGCACGTTAAAAGGAAGCCAGAAGCTGGAATGTAAACAATAAACTTGTTTCCGTCCGGTTGCGCACGCACCTCCCTATGACATGCCACAAATCTCTCAGCGCGCCTCTGAGCTGGTCGCTCGAGAAGGACTTTCGCGATAGACTGCTAGTTTGTATTCTACTAGTACTTATCGTGTGTCTACAGTTGTTGTTCTAATACAGTAATAATAATATGTCTTACCTGTAGACTCCTGGAATGTAATCCTTGGTAATCCATTGTTTGTGTTCAACACGTGTTTCACTGTTTGACTTGATTATACACGTGGCAACATGTCGGGCTTTTCTGCCTCGTGTCAAAGTATACTGTCTAAAGTAGATCCTCACAAGTATTGTCCTTCCTGCATAATTAAGGACGGATTTTCAACGTGTTCGTGGGATAAACGTAAAGAATGTGATCACTTTAATTGGTATCTTCGTGCGTTGGCGAAGCGGGCTACTGACCAGCGCTACAAGCAAAGTAGGTCATCGGGTGGATCCCTGGACTCTGCAGCCTCTACATCTGGCCCTGGGGGTGGCGCGTCGGCCACTCCCAAGAAATCAGTTGATAACGACCCGCCCCAGTCAACTTATGTTTTCGACAAGACACGTGACCGTTCGCCTGCTGATGATACTACCCGCACGACAGATCTTCGTCCATCGGTTGATCGAGAGCGTCACTCAGCCACCCGTTACGACGGGACCGGCTCGTGACGAGGACCATGAGGGGACTACGGTCCCCAGTCGGTCCGTCTCTCGTCCTACCAACGACGATAGGTCGACAGTGAACACGGATCCCACTCTACAAGTTGTTCCCGCCCCGGGACGACAGGTCGAGTGCCTCGTCGAGAGACAGTAAACGACACGAGGACGTTCGTCTCCTTCAAGGTCGTCGGGAGTTCGATTCGGACGATAACTATGATGGGGATCGTAGTACTTCTACAGTTAGAGATCGTAGCCCTCGTCCCAACGGGGACGTGCGGCGCTCTCGAAGGGAGTTTTTGGGAGATCAGCGTCGTAGAGATAATGATCGATCGTCACCCTCGTCTCACTTTCATATCAACCCGGTTTTGATAGGCCAGATGAGAAGGGTTCGACTACGTCGGAGGTCCATGGACCATTGTCCTGTACACCGGTTCCTTCATCTACGCCTACACAATGGATTGTGACGACAGCGTCGTAGAGATAATGACCGATCGACACCCTCGTCTCACTTTCATATCGACCCGGCTTTGATAGCCCAGATCACGACAGCGGTACTCGCCTCGACGGCGTCGACCAAGAAGGATTCGACTACGTCGGAGGTCCATGGACCATCGACCAGTACACCAGTACCTTCATCTACATCCACACAATCGACGTCTCCTCCCGATGTCTTCAGAGCCATGGCTCACAATATGGACCAGAACTTGCCTCTGCTCTGCCGGGGCAGAGGTTCAGCAAACCACCTGTTCGATCGCGTTACCCGATCTCTGGCATGCCGTTTTCGTCACTCATGAGTAGGGACTTGGATTGGGGGCTACTCTTCAAGAAACCAGCGCCCTCCAAGATTCTTGTAGTAGACAGGCATTGGGGATCCATGGACACTGCTGTTGGTCTCCAGCTACAACCGCTTGCTATGCTGTCGACAGCGAGCCAGCGGGGGAGGTAGTGAGGTCCCTTCCCCCACCGTCACCGTCATCGGAGTCTACTACCTTTAGACGAGCTACCGGTAGGGGGAAGACTTCATCACACGGATCATGAAGACGGTCGTAGAATGGCTCCATCGGCAGGCGATCAGGGTCGCCTTCTACCTAGACGAGCCGTCTCCTACGGGCGACAGGCTCACTAACATACCGGAATTGCAGAAAATTCTACGTGCCTTCTTGGTTGAAGATGAGTCACATTAATTCCGACTGCCGGCCTGGGACCTCGATATCGTTCTGCGCTACCTGTCTAGTTAGACTTACGAGCCTCTCGATCAGGTCGCCTTCGACATTGTCTCAGACAAGAAGTACTGCTCGTATTTTTTAGTTACCTTGTATACTGCGAGTTGCTCTGTAACTAAATTATGCGCCGACCACACTTCGATCGCAATTCATCTGACGTGTGCAGTTGTCATGTCGCATCGATAATTTGTTGTGTGTCGAAGAGCATTAAACATGCTGTTTTAGTTACCTTGTATACTGCGAGTTGCTCTGTAACTCAACTATACGTCGACCACTTCGATCGCAGTTCATCTGCCGTGTGCAGTTGTCATGTCGCATCGATAATTTGTTGTGTGTCGAAGAGCATTAAACATGCTATTTTTCGTTACCTTGGATACGACGAATCGTTCTGAAACTAAATTATATACCGTCCACACTTCGATCGCAATTCAACTGTCGTGTGCAGTTGTCCTGTCGCATCGATAGTTACTTGTGGGTCGAAGAGCATTAAACATGCTGTTTTAGTTACCTTGTATACTGCGAGTTGCTCTGTAACTAAACTATACGTCGACCACTTTGATTGCAGTTCAACTGACGCGTGCAGTTGTCCTGTCGCATCGATTATTAGTTGTGTGTCGATGAGCATTAGCCATGCTGTGGGTTCGTGTTAAACAATTTGTCTCGTCCGTGCATCTGGTCGAATGTTCTATTGTCACTGCAGGGGTGAGGAACTTGGTACATTCGACGTGAAAGAGGTCACTTCCTGATTACTTTCCCGACCCTCCTTCCAGTGTTCCGTCGAATTCTACCCATTTGTACGACTGAAAACAGACTAAAACATGGGTTTTTCAGATTAAAAACGATGTTTTATTGGTCTGTTTTCAGTCGTACGTTCCCACCCAGCCATCCCCACAGGGAAGTAATCCAGTCCAGTCCTGCTTGATGGCTTATTCTTCGAGATTTGTGGCATGTCATAGGGAGGTGCGTGCGCAACCGGACGGAAACAAGTTTAATGTTTACATTCCAGCTTCTGGCTTCCTTTTAACGTGCGACTAGAGGTATGATATACCCATTTGTACGACTGAAAACAGACCAATAAAACATCGTTTTTAATCTGAAAAACCCATTTTTCATTTTTTTATTATGTGTATTGTTTACTATTGTTTAGTTGTCTGATTTTCGATCACTACTTAATTTCGTTTATACGACATGATCATATGCAACCAACCATGTCGGTTTAACGGGACTTGACTGTATTTGGAGGTCTGTCAACATTGCATGAATGTAATAATGTAAGGCTAATGAAGCCATTTCCTCTCTAATGGTCCTGTTAACAATTAAATACAAGTTTGCAAATTTAACACAGTGGGAATTTGTTTTAATCCATTTGGGGAAATTTCACTAGATAAATGCTAGATAATTTTGTTTGATTTCCATAGCAACGGTTTTGTCATGAAGCTACTTTCAGTCTTCAGTGTACACTTTGAGCAGGGTATTCCCCATTTTCTTCATTTTCCCGCGTTTTAATGGCCTCGCTTTGAGAATGCAAAATGTGATATCTGAAACTGGCCTATAAGAGAGATAAGCACTCGCTTCGATGACATCTAGTTCAACCGCCCCAGGAAGGCAGAGAGTAACACACAAACATGGTGTCCTGCTATGTCTGCAGTAATATTTGTGTTAGTACAATTGTCAAAGCATAACACAAAACAATATACTTCAGTATCTATTAAATGTTGTTATCTCAGATAGAATCAAACAAGTGACAGATTGTCAGGAAAATCATAATGTTTATGTTACATTTGTTAATTATGCTAAAAAATACACAAGGATACTATGTATTAACAACAATATGATACAACTTTTACAAACTGTCAACATCAGAGATATTGTTTTCATGCATTTACACAGATGTTATTATGTTACAGTTCCATTAATTTCAACAGGCATGAATTCTGTGATTAAAGAGGAAATATATGTTATTAACTGAGGATCATTATCATGTTGATGCGTTTGCCATATCATGATAAAAAAATCATGATAGTGTTGAGCCCCATATTTAATTTAAGTCAGAAAATTCCATTGACATGTGTATCTGTTAAGAGAATACATGTAATATATTTAATTGTGTCAACAAGATAGTCCAACCATGAACGAACCTCCACCAGGGCAAAATTTCCATTATTGTTATCAAAATTCCTCTCCACTATCGCTGGACAATAGTTGTTACTCTTCATTAGGAATATTTAAGTAGTCTTCATCAAAATATGTGTTAAAATCATTCCATTCATAGTCTAATGTTGTGTCAGTACCTTTTGAAACTATACATCCGTATCTGCACATGTATAGATATTATGCCACATTTGGAAGACGAGGAGTACAATGCAAACTGTATATACAGATGATAATTTCATATCTGTATGTTTAAAAATATATCACTTTCTTAATCCAATCAAGAAACAATGAAAAGAAGTATCTCCCTGGTATTACCTTGCAATATAAGTCTAAAAATGTACGGCAATTTGGAGCAGACGACAGTTTTCCATTTCCAACCAATCCGGAGTCTTGGTTTGGTCACGTGACCTAAACACTTCATTATGGGGGCAGAATCAATTAGTGGCTTCTGAATGTTTTTCTTCCTTTGCACAGGATACAAGTGCCAATACAATTTAATAAATTGTTTACTTAATTATCCCACAAGACTGTAGTAATGACAGTTTGTTTTTAGCACTTGTGAGATAGAAAGATCCTGGACAAGAAGTATGTGATCCTCCAGTCACATCGTTTACCCCTTATGAAGAACTGTCCATTTGAATAGATGATATCATTATATTTACACAAAACAATGACGATATATTTGACCTAGGGTGACAGGTCTTTCACCACGATCACAGATATCAGCGATAAAGTGTAAACTGTTGACACAAAGTGAATTCCAGAACCAGCTATTTCTGAATGAAATGATTCAGAAAGGGTGATGCTCTTTAACCAACCAGTTTGCTACACTATACTAAAGCACCACCTTTTTCTGTGATTGACTCTTTTCCAAATACACCAACAACCAATACAGAATGTAGAATAGTGCCTTATATGGCTTGAGATAAAAAGATCCTGATATTGAACTACAGGGAAAAACTGTACAACCGGAAGTGTGAACATATTACTTTTGGACCGTTTACTGGAGCCAGGCTGTATCATTATATCATGATAATTACTTGTAATTGGAGGTGGACCTATGATGAATTCATATGTGAAAAAGTAAGGGCTTCTTTTATTTTAACTTCTAAGTAAATAAGATATTTCTAATGACACCACTTTCTTGTTGATCAATGGTGTTTCAGTCTGGTATCAAATTACATTCTCCGTACACGCTGTAGAACCAGAACGAGGCGGGATTCCCCTGCTATAAGCAGGCATGACTACTGAAAGTCTTAGCTGCTTCATGGTGTTAGGTCTTCATGTCATCACATGTGTCTGGTCAGGATGTAATGAACATGTTTTTGCCAGTGTATATTATAATTTAGAAAGTTTCATTTAGATTGTAGTAAGCTACAGTACCCACTCCACTATTTTTGTAGAAGAGAATGTTGAATTATTATTTAGGGCTCTATGTTTGAGTTAAATGTTTGACCTAACATCAGCCTTTGCCCTTCTGACAATGTGAGCCATGCCCTGGAATAGTTTGTTGAACTAACAGTAAACATGGTACTGCTGGCCTGAGGTTCATTGTCAACTACCTGTTTAACATGAGGTTTCCTTCCAGGGAGAGACCCCTCTGCACATAGCTTGTCAGTCTGGTCTCACCGATCTGGTCCGAGTTTTACTCCAGAAGGGTGCTAACCCAAATGCTCAGACCCTAAAGCCCAGAGACATGACTGTCAGCATGGCAATGCTTGGCATAGATGATGAACAACCTCCCATCGCACAACAAACTCCTCTACATCTAGCTCTGGCCAACAACCACAATATGGTGGTACAAGTCTTCCTTGACTATAAAGGTGTGTAACCCTACATAGTGAACAGCTCGGTGACTGAATCTCACATAACTTTACAAGCACCTACAACAGTCATAGTGATGACAAGGCCAGAACTGGGTGGTCACAGTGTATAGTTTTTGCTTATGATTTTTTCACGCTTGAATGAATAACTTAATTAGGCCTGGTGTTAAATTGTTTTAGTATTTTCTGTTTTTGTTTAAATGCAGGACATCTTCTAATAATTGGCTGGCCTTATCCAAGGTCATGTACATGTCATGAATTTATTTACAAACACATGAGGACCTAAGTAGGATAATCTAGCACTCCCATTTTAGGTCTAGTTATCTCAAGAGCTGATTAAAGAGGATTGGGTGGTTCTGTGACTGAGCTGATTGTGTGTTTGCGTGTCCCGTTGGTATTGATTTTGCTTATGCTTTCAGTCACTGGTTTTTGTGCTCCTGACTTGACCATTTGCTCACTGACTCACCCCATATTTGAAAATGAAATGATGAGCTGGGCCCCGCTCCACAAAAAGATCAAGATGTCAAAGTATGAGAGTTGCGATCATCTTAGTGCTATGGTCGCTTTGTGAATTCAGCCCTGTATGTTATCTCGATGAGAACACGTTCAAATGTTCAGTTTGTGTGTTTCCAGCGGAGGTTGCTGGAAGCAGTGCTGGGCTCCAAGTGATGCCAAACTTTAACATCAAGGACACAGTGGGACAGACCGTGGTGGGCCTGTCACTGTGGAATGGCATCCACAACATGGCGGCCAAGCTGTTGGATGCTGGAGCAAACATCAATGAGAAGAATTCTGCTGGGATGACACTCTTACATCAGTGTATAGAGAAGCAAGACACTGTCAGTGCCCTGTTCCTTATAGAGCATAGAGCAGACATAGAAGCAATGTGAGTATCAGTGCTACCATAACCACACTATATGGCAACAAGATTTGCATTATTTAAAAAAAAAGGCAAAACATTAAAAATTTGATATCAGAGTTGTCAGATGCGTTAAGACAAATGAAAAGGAGGCATTATTTCTTATCACGACACTAGGGATAGAGACTTTCCCAGCTGTCAGGCACTTGAGAGCCTTGGGCAACTTGAGGTTAGTGGGCTTCAATCTGAGGATTACACCCACCAAATTGAGTGGTCCTCTTGAACTAGTAGGCCCAACTCCATCCTCTCCTCTGGTTCAGACTTATCAACAGAAATGGCCACATCACTAGAGAAGTCACTTCTGTTTGCAAGAAGAAGGCTGTGCCACCATTGTTTGAGATTTGTAAACACGTCAAGGATAAAATGGATAAAGAAGATTTATGCCAGGCTCATCCATGAAATGGAAACAATAGTTGTGTCTGGGGTCTGATGACAAGTATGGTCACTTCGTTGTCCCACTTTGAATGACAAGTTGACCTGAATTATCTCCCTTGCTATGTTGGCAGATCTCCTGACAATCAGACACCGATCCAGCATGCCATCAGTAGACATCTGCCAGTGGTTGTCGACGTCCTGTGTACACGGAAAGCCAACATGAACGTAGTCGATGAGAGTGGCAATTGTCCACTGTGGCAGGCTCTGGACTCAGGACAGGAGGATATTGCACAAACACTGGTGAGTCAGTGACATGTTGAGTTTAGGGGGGGGAGCAAGCTGTGTTTACCATCTTTAGGGTCAACAGGATATTCAATAAATATGCTTAAAATATGAGATGTCTTCAGACCTACTGGATATTGTCTTCAATATCCAGTATATACAGGGGAATGTACCCCAGTACTTACTGGATATTGACCGGTACAATTTGGATCAGTTAACTCCATTGACTGGCAGAGACAAATCCAACCTTTAACACCAGTGTTTAAATGTTGTAACATTTGTATAATGAAACCCATAAGCTAATATTTGATGATTAGCAGTTCATTTGTGGTTTGTCTTGACTATAAGTGTTGTGACACCTCCCTAATATTGCTTTTATTACGGGTGGAAGAACATTGCTTGTAACTGTCAGTGAGTTATACCATGTTTTGTATCCCAGGTATCAGATGAGGCTAAGTTGAGACACTGGCAGGATATGCATCACGATACTTAGATGATTTTTTTCAAACCATTTTTGCTGTTAAACATAGATGTTATTTTAAGACAATATGAGACTCAAGTGGCTTGTCATGATGCATTGTGTCTGCCCAAGTGAGGACTATTTCTTGTGTATGTATTCCTTGATGACTGTTTGGCCAGGTGAAGCATGACTGTGACATGAACCTGTGGTCACCGGGACCAAGCTGCTACCAGACGCTGCTGCACCGAGCCATTGACGAGAACAACGAGGCCGTCGCCTGTTTCCTTGTCAGAAGGTTGGTTACTTTGCCTGATGATGGCAGGGAACTGTTATTGTCATAATGGATCCCTCTGTGGGATTGGACAGGATTGACTAGGACAGGATTGGGTGGCAGGCTGTGACTTGGCTGTGTCATCGTGCCCCAACAGGACTGAGTGTGATGTTTATCATGCCGAGACTTGATTATTGACAGGCTGTTGTGGTATGGCTTGAACATTGTTGTCTCTGGTGTAATACCCTGGAGTATACTGAGACTATGTATACACACAGGGTAGAGTTTGATTCTCCTTGGACATGATGGAGAGACAATACATGAATGAGTGCATGTTCTGTCCTTGGCACCTGCATGTAGTAGGCAGTTTGAGACATAAAACAACAGACTATAATCAGTCCTTCTACTGCCAGCTACATTTCTGTTTTCCAGTGGTTGTGACAAGAACAGTCCGAGGAGAGCAGGTCCGAACGGGGACGGAGGGGAAGAGGCAAGGTGAGGGTCAACAAGGGAGACAATCAACAGCATCTTTTATGAAAAATAGGCCATGAGAACTCTACTGTCCTTTCAAACACATTGTTCTATGTAAAATTTCTATCAACTAATAACTAATGTATCTTGTCTTGAACAGTGCATGGAATCACAATGTTGATATATTTGTGATATTTATTTGTTACTGTAGAGATGGACAGAGTCCCCTGCACTTAGCATGTGCCTGGGGTCTGGAGAGGGTGGTGCAATGTCTCATGGAGCACAATGCTGATGTCAACAGTCAGGTAGGTCAAGGTCAGGTCAAAGATCACTGATGAAAACTACTTGCCATAAAACTACTGATACAGGCATATTGCCCAAAGGACTAATATGAGTCTCTTTACAACAAAGTTTTGTTCTGTATGCTTTACACATATTTGAACAGGGTTCACAGATTTGAAAAGTACTTAAATTTAACCCTATCTGATGAAAAGTGCTTGATTCTGCCATTTTACCATCGAAGTGCTGGAATTCTTTTGACAGTCCTTGAAAAGTGCTGGAATGTAAATAAAATTGGTCTAGCTATTACCAAATTGCTACTGAAAATTATTATCGAAAGACTGTCTTCTGTCTATCATGGGTTACATGCGTTACATGTGTTAATTCCTTTGTGCATGGTATTACTGAACATAGTTTAATTAACATTATCACGAGCGACACTTGAAACTCTAGCCTGGTTCTCATCCCTCGACAGGCCAAGGGCAGGATCTGGGAACCAGTCAGATTGTGCTAAATCATGGGGGAGATGTGTGTTTTTATTCATGGGTTTCAAAGTAAGTGGGTCATGAAACAAAAGACAGAAAACAAGATGTTGCTGCATCGGGAACGAAATTGATATCGTTACGATGGGGGAAAATGTGGTTGTATAGGTATATACATGATATGTTGTGTGTGATATGTGTGCTATTTGATATTCTTACAGTACATTTAGCTTCATCTAATAATCTGGATGCTACTTGTTATCTATTACCTGTTATCAATGTTAATCTGCTGCTCATCACAACATATCCTGCATATATTATACCTCTCATCACTTGGTTGTTGTCACTCCAGCTTGATAACGGTTTTAGAATCTACATCACAACATATCCTGCATATATTATACCTCTCATCACTTGGTTGTTGTCACTCCAGCTTGATAACGGTGTAAGAATCTACATCACAACATATCCTGCATATATTATACCTCTCATCACTTGGTTGTTGTCACTCCAGCTTGATAACGGTGTAAGAATCTACATCACAACATATCCTGCATATATTATACCTCTCATCACTTGGTTGTTGTCACTCCAGCTTGATAACGGTGTAAGAATCTACACCAAAATGTGGCGATATGCAATAAACCAGAAGTTGTTGTCCATTAAGTTGTACGTTTTCTTACTGACTCACCAACTTCTAGAATGACAATCAATCAGTTAAAGCTGTGATAGAACTCAAATACTGTTCAAACCATGTTAGACCAAAAAGTCACTCACTCACTCATGCTTGATGTGGAATTAGGTAGTGAATGATGTGAAAGACCAGATGTATTGATTCCTGTATTAGACAGCAGAATACTTTCTTCTGGATGACGTCTGAAAGACACAAACAAATTTCCCTCTCTCATTGATTCATGCAATCTGAGTTTAGTGAGAAGCATGGCATGCCAGTGAGTCAAACAGATTGTCAATGAACATGTCTGCCTCAAAGTGCCTTCAAAACAGGGCTCAACAAATACACCTACAGACAGCCAGTTAATATTTGTCAGGACCAGTAATATTTAAGTTGAGGTGATGTGAGTGACTAGTGAAATATAGAAATGTCTTCTTGCAAAGTTTTGTTTCCAAGAACCAAAGTACTGAAATTACTATTTCTGAAAATGTGTGTAATCTTGTTCTGATAATTTGTAGTAGACAATTTTCTGTGAGACGAATGAAATTCTGAAGATACAGTTGTTGTTGTGGTTATTTTTTTGGATGCTGTAAAATGAAGATCTTCTTGCTAGCATAGTGTTCAAATGTGCTAAAATTGTGTTACTCTAGGATGCGGAAGGGAAGAGTCCAGTTCACATCGCCATCGAGAACCAACATGCAGTCATCATCTCCCTTCTCCTGTCTCACCCAAGTCTCAATCTCACACTGAGGGACAAGAATGGTCACACTCCCTTCTCGGCTGCCATGACAACCAAGAACAACAAGGCAGCACAGCAGATACTCAATCGAGAGCCGACTGCGGCGGAACAGGTGGACAATCGTGGGCGCAACTTCCTGCACACGGCCATCCAGAAGGCGGACATTGAGAGTGTGTTGTTCTTGTTGAGTGTGCACGCCAACGCCAACTCCCGGGTACAAGACTCACAGAACCTCACCCCTCTCCATCTGGCTGTCAGGACCGGATCCGAGATGATTGTCAGGAACCTGGTGAGTTTACAGCTTCACCTTGGTGGTGACAGACTGTACTGATTGGATGATCGGCTTTCCATACTTTACCATCTCTTTTCCCTTCCTTACTTTACCATCTCTTTTCCCTTCCTTACCTTACCATCTCTCTTTTCCCTTCCTTACTTTACCATCTCTCTTTTCCCTTCCTTACTTTACCATCTCTCTTTTCCCTTCCTTACTTTACCATCTCTCTTTTCCCTTCCTTACCTTACCATCTCTCTTTTCCCTTCCTTACTTTACCATCTCTCTTTTCCCTTCCTTACTTTACCATCTCTCTTTTCCCCTCCATACTTTACCATCTCTCGTTTCCCTTCCTTACTTTACCATCTCTCTTTTCCCCTCCATACTTTACCATCTCTCTTTTGCCCTCCTTACTTTACCATCTCTCTTTTCCCTTCCTTACTTTACCATCTCTCGTTTGCCCTCCTTACTTTACCATCTCTCTTTTCCCTTCCTTACTTTACCATCTCTCGTTTGCCCTCCTTACTTTACCATCTCTCTTTTCCCTTCCTTACTTTACCATCTCTCTTTATCCCTTTCTTACTTTACCATCTCTCTTTTCCCTTCCTTACTTTACCATCTCTCTTTATCCCTTTCTTACTTTACCATCTCTCTTTTCCCTTCCTTACTTTACCATCTCTCTTTATCCCTTTCTTACTTTACCATCTCTCTTTTCCCTTCCTTACTTTACCATCTCTCTTTTCCCTTCCTTACTTTACCATCTCTCTTTTCCCTTCCTTACTTTACCATCTCTCTTTATCCCTTTCTTACTTTACCATCTCTCTTTTCCTTTCCTTACTTTACCATCTCTCTTTATCCCTTTCTTACTTTACCATCTCTCTTTTCCCTTCCTTACTTTACCATCTCTCTTTTCCCTTCCTTACTTTACCATCTCTCTTTATCCCTTTCTTACTTTACCATCTCTCTTTTCCCTTCCTTACTTTACCATCTCTCTTTTCCCTTCCTTACTTTACCATCTCTCTTTATCCCTTCCTTACTTTACCATCTCTCTTTTCCCTTCCTTACTTTACCATCTCTCGTTTGCCCTCCTTACTTTACCATCTCTCTTTTCCCTTCCTTACTTTACCATCTCTCGTTTGCCCTCCTTACTTTACCATCTCTCTTTTCCTTTCCTTACTTTACCATCTCTCGTTTGCCCTCCTTACTTTACCATCTCTCTTTTCCCCTCCTTACTTTACCATCTCTCGTTTGCCCTCCTTACTTTACCATCTCTCTTTTCCTTTCCTTACTTTACCATCTCTCGTTTGCCCTCCTTACTTTACCATCTCTCTTTTCCTTTCCTTACTTTACCATCTCTCTTTTCCATTCCTTACTTTACCATCTCTCTTTTCCCTTCCTTACTTTACCATCTCTCGTTTGCCCTCCTTACTTTACCATCTCTCTTTTCCTTTCCTTACTTTACCATCTCTTTTCCCTTCCTTACTTTACCATCTCTCGTTTGCCCTCCTTACTTTACCATCTCTCGTTTGCCCTCCTTACTTTACCATCTCCCTTTTCCCTTCCTTACTTTACCATCTCTCGTTTGCCCTCCTTACTTTACCATCTCTCGTTTGCCCTCCTTACTTTACCATCTCTCTTTTCCCTTCCTTACTTTACCATCTCTCTTTTCCTTTCCTTACTTTACCATCTCTCTTTTCCCTTCCTTACTTTACCATCTCTCGTTTCCCTTCCTTACTTTACCATCTCTCTTTTCCCCTCCTTACTTTACCATCTCTCTTTTCCTTTCCTTATTTTACCATCTCTCTTTATCCCTTTCTTACTTTACCATCTCTCTTTTCCTTTCCTTACTTTACCATCTCTCTTTTCCTTTCCTTCCTTTACCATCTCTCGTTTCCCCTACTTACTTTACCATCTCTCTTTTCCCTTCCTTACTTTACCATCTCTCTTTTCCTTTCCTTACTTTACCATCTCTCTTTTCCCTTCCTTACTTTACCATCTCTCGTTTCCCTTCCTTACTTTACCATCTCTCTTTTCCCTTCCTTACTTTACCATCTCTCTTTTCCCTTCCTTACTTTACCATCTCTCTTTTCCTTTCCTTACTTTACCATCTCTCTTTCCCCCTCCTTACTTTACCATCTCTCGCTTCCCCTCCTTACTTTACCATCTCTCTTTTCCCTTTCTTACTTTACCATCTCTCGTTTCCCTCCCTTACTTTACCATCTCTCTTTTCCCTTCCTTACTTTACCATCTCTTTTTTCCCTTTCTTACTTTACCATCTCTCTTTTCCCTTCCTTACTTTACCATCTCTCTTTTCCTTTCCTTACTTTACCATCTCTCTTTTCCTTTAGTTACTTTACCATCTCTCTTTTCCCTTCCTTACTTTACCATCTCTAGTTTCCCTTCCTTACTTTACCATCTCTTGTTTCCCTTCCTTACTTTACCATCTCTCGTTTCCCTTCCCTACTTTACCATCTCTCGTTTCCCTTCCTTACTTTACCATCTCTCATTTCCCTTCCTTACTTTACCATCTCTTTTCCCTTCCTTACTTTACCATCTCTCGTTTCCCTTCCTTACTTCACCATCTCTCTTTTCCCTTCCTTACTTTACCATCTCTCATTTCCTTTCCTTACTTTACCATCTCTCTTTTCCCTTCCTTACTTTACCATCTCTCTTTTCCCCTCCTTACTTTACCATCTCTCTTTTCCCCTCCTTACTTTACCATCTCTCTTTTCCCTGACTTACTTTACCATCTCTCTTTTCCCTGACTTACTTTACTTTCTCTCTTTTCCCTTTCTTACTTTACTATCTTTCTTTTCCCTTTCTTACTTTACTTTTTCTCTTTTCCCTTTCTTACTTTACTTTTTCTCTTTTCCCTTTCTTACTTTACTTTTTCTCTTTTCCCTTTCATACTTTACTTTTTTTTGTCCCTTTCTTACTTTACTATCTTTCTTTTCCCTTTCTTACTTTACTTTTTCTCTTTTCCCTTTCTTACTTTACTTTTTCTCTTTTCCCTTTCTTACTTTACTTTTTCTCTTTTCCCTTTCATACTTTACTCTTTTTTTTTCCCTTTCTTACTTTACTTTCTCTCTTTTCCCTTTCTTACTTTACTTTCTCTCTTTCCCCTTTCTTACTTTACTTTCTCTCTTTTCCCTTTCTTACTTTACTATCTTTCTTTTCCCTTCCTTGCTTTACTTTCTCTCTTTTCCTTGACTTACTTTACTTTCTCTCTTTTCCTTGACTTACTTTACTTTCTCTCTTTTCCTTGACTTACTTTACTTTCTCTCTTTTCCTTGACTTACTTTACTTTCTCTATTTTCTCTGACATTCTTTACTTTCTCTCTTTTCCCTTTCTTACTTTACTTTCTCTCTTTCCCCTTTCTTACTTTACTTCCTCTCTTTTCCATGACTTAATTTACTCTGACTGACTTGTTTAACTGACTAGCAGTCTGATGTTAACATGCATCACATGGCCTTCTTCAGATACTAGCTGGAGCATCTGTCAATGAGTTGACAAAGGCAGCAGAGACCTGCCTACACCTAGCTGCAGGCAATGACCATGCCTCCATCTGCTCAGTATTACTGGAGAATGGAATAGATTTTGATGCTGTTGATGAAAATCTCAATAATGGTATGTGGCTGGATGAATATCTCCCTAATGGTATGTAGCTGGATGAATATGTCCATAATGGTATGTAGCTGGATGAATATGTCCAGAATGGTATGTAGGTGGATGAATATGTCCATAATGGTATGTAGCTGGATGAATATGTCCAGAATGGTATGTAGCTGGATGAATATGTCCAGAATGGTATGTAGCTGGATGAATATGTCCATAATGGTATGTAGCTGGATGAATATGTCCATAATGGTATGTAGCTGGATGAATATGTCCATAATGGTATGTAGCTGGATGAATATGTCCATAATGGTATGTAGCTGGATGAATATGTCCATAATGGTATGTAGCTGGATGAATATGTCCATAATGGTATGTAGCTGGATGAATATGTCCATAATGGTATGTAGCTGGATGAATATGTCCAGAATGGTATGTAGGTGGATGAATATGTCCATAATGGTATGTAGCTGGATGAATATGTCCATAATGGTATGTAGCTGGATGAATATGTCCAGAATGGTATGTAGCTGGATGAATATGTCCAGAATGGTATGTAGGTGGATGAATATGTCCATAATGGTATGTAGCTGGATGAATATGTCCAGAATGGTATGTAGCTGGATGAATATGTCCATAATGGTATGTAGCTGGATGAATATGTCCATTGGTATGTAGCTGGATGAATATGTCCATAATGGTATGTAGCTGGATGAATATGTCCATAATGGTATGTAGCTGGATGAATATGTCCATAATGGTATGTAGCTGGATGAATATGTCCAGAATGGTATGTAGCTGGATGAATATGTCCATAATGGTATGTAGCTGGATGAATATGTCCATAATGGTATGTAGCTGGATGAATATGTCCAGAATGGTATGTAGGTGGATGAATATGTCCATAATGGTATGTAGCTGGATGAATATGTCCATAATGGTATGTAGCTGGATGAATATGTCCATAATGGTATGTAGCTGGATGAATATGTCCAGAATGGTATGTAGGTGGATGAATATGTCCATAATGGTATGTAGGTGGATGAATATGTCCATAATGGTATGTAGCTGGATGAATATGTCCATAATGGTATGTAGGTGGATGAATATCTCCATAATGGTATGTAGCTGGATGAATATCTTCAGAATGGTATGTAGCTGGATGAATATGTCCATAATGGTATGTAGCTGGATGAATATGTCCATAATGGTATGTAGCTGGATGAATATGTCCATAATGGTATGTAGCTGGATGAATATGTCCAGAATGGTATGTAGCTGGATGAATATGTCCATAATGGTATGTAGCTGGATGAATATGTCCATAATGGTATGTAGCTGGATGAATATGTCCATAATGGTATGTAGCTGGATGAATATGTCCATAATGGTATGTAGCTGGATGAATATGTCCATAATGGTATGTAGCTGGATGAATATGTCCAGAATGGTATGTAGGTGGATGAATATGTCCATAATGGTATGTAGCTGGATGAATATGTCCATAATGGTATGTAGGTGGATGAATATCTCCATAATGGTATGTAGCTGGATGAATATGTCAATAATGATCACTGATCAGCTTGTCTTTGATACAATTTACAAATATCCTTCTTCTTTCAACATCGAGCATAGCGATGCAGCATGTATTCTTGTTCTAGAAATAAATAATAACAGATATGGGAGACATTTTGGTTTCAAATTTTGGGCAATGGATGTTATTTTCTTTCGCCATTGCCATGGTTAGACACAGCCATGTCTACAATAATCTGTGAATCCTGAGACATGGCTGTTAGTCTACAATATATCCCAAGACATAGAATGTAGCTATCACTCGTCCAGACACTGTGGTGTAAAAACACATACAGTTTGCCTGCAATGATGTCATGACCTGCTTCTCACGTCACAGATCACCTTTGTTCTCATTTCAAGTTACCACACTCCAATGGCGGTCACAAGATAGAGCTGATTGTCATGTACAGTTATTGCACCGAAAATAAGTCATCATGACAATGATGAATGTGCTCTCGTAATGTTCACTGACCCACTGCACTTGTAGACCCCTGTACACCCTGCTGCTGATGTGTGTCACATTATCTACACTATGATCTAACATTGACACTGGATGTAACAAGGTGCAGATACTGTACATCCTATGTCTGTCCACAGCCCTGCACTTAGCGGTCCAACAGGGGAACCTTAACACAGTCAAGGTACTTCTAACTGAGAGCCGGATCAATGCTGAGACCCTCAATGCCAAGTGAGTAGCGCCTCACTCATCTTGTACATTGTCAGATGTATCATATATCAAGGAAATAATCATTCAAGGATTTTTTTTTGCATTTGGCTGCCATACTGCTGCGTTTGTTGCTGAAGAAATAATCGATTTTAGTTTGTCCTTTTCTATTTCTAGAAGTCCAATATTGTTTTACTAAGCTTGTGTAAGATAGAATTAATGAATGTCAACTTTTTTATTATAATAAAAAAGTTCATAAATTCCCTCTTTTATGTGTTTCACTGCTTTTTAAGTCAATGTCAAAGACCTATGCCTGTGCACTTTGCCCGTCATCAGCATTGTACTGTACATTTGTCATGTATCTCTTTAAAAAAGCTCTTTTCTCTTATTGCTAACTGTCAATATTTGGTAGTGTTCAATCTCTGTGTACAAATGCTGGTCAAAATATGGTCACATACAGCTGATAATTTGATGTTTGATATGAAACACTCAAATGTATCGCCAAGAATCATGATGTGATTGTGTCATGTATATTATCATGTATGCTACAGGGGTCAGAACCCGCTCCATATACTGGGGCAGTATGGGAGGGACAATGCTGCCGCCATCTTTGAACTGTTCAGAGAAACCATGCCAGAATACAACATCAACAGACCTGACACCGAGGGTAACACAGGTAGGTCACTCACACTTACATGGGTAGGTCACTCACACTTACATGGGTAGGTCACTCACACTTACACAGGTAGGTCACTCACACTTACGCAGGAAGTTCACTCACACTTACACAGGTAGGTCACTCACACTTACAGACAGGTCACTCACACTTACACGGGTAGGTCACTCACACTTACACAGACAGGTCACTCACACTTACACAGACAGGTCCCTCACACTGACACAGGTAGGTCCTTCACACTTTCACAGATAGGTCACTCACACTTACACAGGTAGGTCACTCACACTTTCACAGATAGGTCACTCACACTGACACAGACAGGTCACTTACACTGACACAGGTAGGTCACTCACACTGACACAGGTAGGTCACTCACATTTACACAGGTAGGTCACTCACACTCACACAGGCAGGTCACTCACATTTACACGGGTAGGTCACTCACACTCACACGGGTAGGTCACTCACACTCACATAGGCAGGTCACTCACATTTACACGGGTAGGTCACTCACACTCACACAGGCAGGTCACATACACTTACACGGGTGGGTCACTCACATTTACACGGGTAGGTCACTCACACTCACACAGGCAGGTCACATACACTTAAATGGGTAGGTCACTCACACTTACACAGGTAGGTCACTCACACTCACAGGCAGGTCACATACACTTACATGGGTAGGTCCCTCACACTTACACAGGTAGGTCACTCACACTTACACAGACAGGTCACTCACACTTACACAGGTAGGTCACTCACACTTACACAGACAGGTCCCTCACACTTACACAGGTAGGTCACTCACACTTACACAGACAGGTCACTCACACTTACATGGGTAGGTCACTCACACTTACACAGACAGGTCACTCACACTTACATGGGTAGGTCACTCACACTTACACAGGTAGGTCACTCACACTTACACAGACAGGTCCCTCACACTTACACAGGTAGGTCCTTCACACTTTCACAGATAGGTCACTCACACTTACACAGGTAGGTCACTCACACTGACACAGGAAGGCCACTCACACTCACACAGGCAGGTCACTCACATTTACACAGGTAGGTCACTCACACTTACACAGGTAGGTCACTCACACTTGCACAGACAGGTCCCTCACACTTACACAGACAGGTCACTCACACTAACACAGACAGGTCCCTCACACTTACACAGGTAGGTCCTTCACACTTTCACAGATAGGTCACTCACACTTACACAAGTAGGTCACTCACACTTACACAGATAGGTCACTCACACTGACACAGACAGGTCCCTCACACTTACACAGACAGGTCCCTCACACTTACACAGACAGGTCACTCACACTTACACAGACAGGTCACTCACACTTACACGGGTAGGTCACTCACACTTACACAGGTAGGTCACTCACACTTACACAGGTAGGTCCCTCACACTTACACAGACAGGTCCCTCACACTTTCACAGATAGGTCACTCACACTTACACAGGTAGGTCACTCACACTGACACAGGAAGGTCACTCACACTCACACAGGCAGGTCACTCACATTTACACAGGTAGGTCACACACACTTACACGGGTAGGTCACTCACACTTACACAGGTAGGTCACTCACACTTGCACAGACAGGTCCCTCACACTTACACAGACAGGTCACTCACACTTACACAGACAGGTCACTCACACTTACACAGACAGGTCACTCACACTTACACAGACAGGTCACTCACACTTACACAGACAGGTCCCTCACACTTACACAGGTAGGTCCTTCACACTTTCACAGATAGGTCACTCACACTTACACAGGTAGGTCACTCACACTTACACAGATAGGTCACTCACACTGACACAGACAGGTCCCTCACACTTACACAGACAGGTCCCTCACACTTACACAGGTAGGTCACTCACATTTACACAGGCAGGTCACTCACACTCTCACGGGTAGGTCACTCACACTCACACAGGTAGGTCACTCACATTTACACGGGTAGGTCACTCACACTCACACAGGCAGGTCACTCACACTTACACAGGTAGGTCACTCACACTTACACGGGTAGGTCACTCACATTTACACGGGTAGGTCACTCACACTCACACAGGCAGGTCACTCACACTCACACAGGCAGGTCACTCACACTCACACAGGCAGGTCACATACACTTACATGGGTAGGTCACTCACACTTACACAGGTAGGTCACTAACACTGACACAGACAGGTCCCTCACACTTACACAGACAGGTCCCTCACACTTACACAGGTAGGTCACTCACACTTACACAGACAGGTCCCTCACACTTACACAGGTAGGTCCTTCACACTTTAACAGAAAGGTCACTCACACTTACACAGGTAGTTCACTCACACTGACACAGGAAGGTCACTCACACTCACACAGGCAGGTCACTCACATTTACACAGGTAGGTCACTCACACTTACACGGGTAGGTCACTCACACTTACACAGGTAGGTCACTCACACTTGCACAGACAGGTCCCTCACACTTACACAGGTAGGTCCTTCACACTTTCACAGATAGGTCACTCACACTTACACAGGTAGGTCACTCACACTTACACAGATAGGTCACTCACACTGACACAGACAGGTCCCTCACACTTACACAGACAGGTCCCTCACACTTACACGGGTAGGTCACTCACATTTACACAGGTAGGTCACTCACACTCACACAGGCAGGTCACTCACATTTACACGGGTAGGTCACATACACTTACATGGGAAGGTCCCTCACACTTACACAGGTAGGTCACTCACACTTACACAGACAGGTCACTCACACTTACACGGGTAGGTCACTCACACTTACACAGGTAGGTCACTCACACTTACACAGGTAGGTCACATACACTTACATGGGAAGGTCACTCACACTTACACAGGTAGGTCACTCACACTTACACAGACAGGTCACTCACACTTACACGGGTAGGTCACTCACACTTACACAGGTAGGTCACTCACACTTACACAGACAGGTCACTCACACTTACACGGGTAGGTCCCTCACACTTACACAGACAGGTCCCTCACACTTACACAGACAGGTCACTCACACTGACACAGACAGGTCACTCACACTTACACGGGTAGGTCACTCACACTTACACAGGTAGGTCACTCACACTTACACAGACAGGTCCCTCACACTTACACAGGTAGGTCCTTCACACTTTCACAGGTAGGTCACTCACACTTACACAGGTAGGTCACTCACACTGACACAGGAAGGTCACTCACACTCACACAGGCAGGTCACTCACATTTACACAGGTAGGTCACACACTTACACGGGTAGGTCACTCACACTTGCACAGACAGGTCCCTCACACTTACACAGACAGGTCACTCACGCTTACACAGACAGGTCACTCACACTTACACAGACAGGTCACTCACACTTACACAGACAGGTCACTCACACTTACACAGACAGGTCCCTCACACTTACACAGGTAGGTCCTTCACACTTTCACAGATAGGTCACTCACACTTACACAGGTAGGTCACTCACACTTACACAGATAGGTCACTCACACTGACACAGACAGGTCCCTCACACTTACACAGACAGGTCCCTCACACTTACACAGGTAGGTCACTCACATTTACACAGGCAGGTCACTCACACTCACACGGGTAGGTCACTCACACTCACACAGGTAGGTCACTCACATTTACACGGGTAGGTCACTCACACTCACACAGGCAGGTCACTCACACTTACACAGGTAGGTCACTCACACTTACACGGGTAGGTCACTCACATTTACACGGGTAGGTCACTCACACTCACACAGGCAGGTCACTCACACTCACACAGGCAGGTCACTCACACTCACACAGGCAGGTCACATACACTTACATGGGTAGGTCACTCACACTTACACAGGTAGGTCACTAACACTGACACAGACAGGTCCCTCACACTTACACAGACAGGTCCCTCACACATACACAGGTAGGTCACTCACACTTACACAGACAGGTCCCTCACACTTACACAGGTAGGTCACTCACACTTTAACAGAAAGGTCACTCACACTTACACAGGTAGTTCACTCACACTGACACAGGAAGGTCACTCACACTCACACAGGCAGGTCACTCACATTTACACAGGTAGGTCACTCACACTTACACGGGTAGGTCACTCACACTTGCACAGACAGGTCCCTCACACTTACACAGGTAGGTCCTTCACACTTTCACAGATAGGTCACTCACACTTACACAGGTAGGTCACTCACACTTACACAGATAGGTCACTCACACTGACACAGACAGGTCCCTCACACTTACACAGACAGGTCACTCACATTTACACAGGTAGGTCACTCACACTCACACAGGCAGGTCACTCACATTTACACGGGTAGGTCACATACACTTACATGGGAAGGTCCCTCACACTTACACAGGTAGGTCACTCACACTTACACAGACAGGTCACTCACACTTACACGGGTAGGTCACTCACACTTACACAGGTAGGTCACTCACACTTACACAGGTAGGTCACTCACACTTACACAGGTAGGTCACATACACTTACATGGGAAGGTCCCTCACACTTACACAGGTAGGTCACTCACACTTACACAGACAGGTCACTCACACTTACACGGGTAGGTCACTCACACTTACACAGGTAGGTCACTCACACTTACACAGGTAGGTCACATACACTTACATGGGAAGGTCACTCACACTTACACAGGTAGGTCACTCACACTTACACAGACAGGTCACTCACACTTACACGGGTAGGTCACTCACACTTACACAGGTAGGTCACTCACACTTACACAGACAGGTCACTCACACTTACACGGGTAGGTCACTCACACTTACACAGGTAGGTCACTCACACTTACACAGGTAGGTCACTCACACTGACACGGGTAGGTCAATTACACTTACACAGGTAGGTCAGACAAACTTAGAAATTGAACATGTATGTACATGCCAACTCACTCATTAACAATGTAGACACATACTTTTACATAAAATGCTTACACATACGCTACCATGGCAGCTATTTATAATTTGTCCTGATTGCCCATGACACTATGTGTGATGTTGATTATGCTCTGAAAGCTATCAAGTACTGGTACCATCTCAAAGCATGTACAGGGAGCTGTCCTATTGCTGGTCATTTGTTATGGATGTTTGCATATTCTTGTTCCCCCTTTTGGACCATTTCAATAGGTTTGTGCAAATATTCCAGAAAAGTTCAGATGGCTCTATTTGTATTATTTCCACACCCCTGGAATTACTAATCTCTTAATAATCTCTGCTTTATGTAACCTTCTACAACTTATTTCACTACGTCACCTCCTTTACCACGACCCCCCATTACTCGTTATCTTGAAGAAGTGTTACTTTGCTGGAACCAAGAGCTTGTTTATGTTGTTCTTTCAGCCTTGTTGTTGGCTTATTGTAATGGCAATGGCAACCTCTGTCGAGCTCTGGTCCGGGCTGGGGCTTGCTTTGGTATCATCAACAAACAAGGTCTCAGTATTTTCAATGCTCCAGTTGCCACCAAACAGTTGCTGTTCAAGTTGTTAGGTGAGTTTCTAACATTCTTTTTGTTGTGTTTTTTTGTGCCATTTATGTTGTAGTTATATTTTGATTGTGTTGAGTAGAATGTGTTTATTGAATGCACACTGATTGTTGGAAGACTTACTCTCCTTCCTTGTTACTTTGTGATAAACAAGCTGATCTTTTCTTTTATGAATAGGTCTTTCTTGAAGCAAACCTAAAGAATTCAAAATAATGTTAGATTACATTAAGTAATACGTTACCACTGTTATACCGAGGCTGTTGTCTCCCACAACTGCTGCTATAGCGAAGTCTACCACAGAGATCTCAAATACCTCATGCAGCATGTGCGTAGCCACCCAGCTGCCATGTGACACCCTTCACTCTTGTCTCCTTCGCTTGCTCTAGCAAGACGTGTTTATTAAGACTGCTGAAGCGTTCCTGTTTCCTCGACCATTCGGTGATATTTATTATTGTTTATTCTCACTAATAAACTGTGCTTTTACGGGGCATTTGCGGTAGCTACCCTTGGATATAATTTTCCCGCCAAACGGAAAAAAATTTCCCGCCCTTTTTTCTATATACTTGCAGGGTTCTCGTATGCACGTTGTGTTTTACGTTCCCCTGTTCTAGTATGCTTTGGGGGTTTACATCACTTATTTCTCTATATGTTATATGTGTATGTTCTATATTCACATTGCTCGTTTATTTTCTTGTGAAAATGCCTGTTTGTGAATAATTGCGGTGCGTGTGTTGTAACCATGTTTTGCTCTTTGTTCATAGTACAAAAATGTCTGACATGGATGTGTCGCCGTTATCCACCCCCTCTACCCCTGCAACCCGGAGTTGCGGGGTGTGCCGCAAGTTCTTACCATCTCGGGATCCCCACGATCAATGCCCGCGGTGCAGGGTTCCTTGCGGGGACAACAGGTGTGTCCTGTGCGACGGTCTGGTGCCTGCGGCTTCCGAGCGCTACCAGCTGTATGTGCAGTTCGTTTCCACCCCTGTGGTGGCCGGCTCGTCCGGTCGGGGTCCCCTTGCGGGTACCACCTCCACGGCTGCGGCGGATCCCTTGGCGGCCCTCAGGCTGTCCGGGGATTCCGTCGCTGCATTGCTTTCCAAACTTGTGGACTCAGAAAACTGTATCTCAGGATAGGCCGCTGGCTGTTCTGTCCCCGTGGCCATGGTTTATGACCACGGCTCTGTAGGTTCCTCCGAGGCATACGATGAGTCTTCTGACTTTCCCTGCATCAACCTTGCTGCGCAGGATCAAGCCTTCCTTGGAGAACGCCTTCGCGGCGGCCTCAGGTTGGGGTCTCCCATTGCCTCCACCGTCGTGGAGAAAGGGTTCATTCCCGGTACATGACCTTGCCTTTCCCGAGGCTGGTCCTACCGTGGAGGCCCATGTTGAGCGGTCAGGTGTCCGTGCCCCACCGGCTGCTACGGTAACGCAAGCTACCTTGCAGCAGCTGGACACCCTCGCTCGGCACTCCATGCTTGCCATGTCTCACGGAGACACTTACTTGGCTGCAGCGGCCAGTCTGGTCGAAGGTTCTCCCACGGACCGTGACCAGCGCATTTACAGCTGCCTGCTCGGTTTAAATGCTTTCCTGGAGTACGTTGCCGGGGCTTCGGCCTTTATTTCTGCCACGTGCCTTTTTCTCAGGCACCGGTCGTATCTTGCCGCCTCGGGGTTGGACGCTGCCAACCAGGAAGTGCTCCTTTTGCAGCCTTGGTCTGCGCGGACCCTTTTCAATAATAAAATCCCTGGGGTTCTGAAGGAACAACAGGCTGCTGTGTCTGCCGAGGCCTTTCGTATGCCGACAGCGCCAACTTCGGTTGGCCCGTAGGCGAACCTGAGTAATTGGCCCTGGACAGTTGCGCCTGCCGCAGCCTGTCAGGCCCCCCTCTCCTTCCCCGGTGGGAGCCAGACTCCAGACTTACGGCGAGAATTGGGAACAAGTGTTCGACGACCCGTGGGTGGTCAACACGATACGGTACGGCTATCGGCTAGATCTCAAAGCGAATCCGCCACTCACCGTTGCCCCGTTGGCAGGTTTCTATTCGGAAACCGATCTTCCCATCCTCGCCGATGCCATCGGCAGGTTGGTGGAAAAGAGGGCAGTACGGGAGTTAGCTCTACCAGAAGTAACACCGGGGTTTTACTCCAGGATACTTCTCGTTCCCAAGAAGGACAGTGCAAAACTCAGAATGATTCACAATCTGAAATCGTTCAAAGAGTTTTACCTGCACAAGCCGCCCAAGTTCAGAATGTTGACCTTGGCGGACTTGAAAGCTCTGATCATGCCCCCCGACTGGCTCGCTTCGATCGACCTGAAGGATGCTTATCTGCATGTTCCGATTCACTCGGACAATCACAAGTATCTCAGGTTTGTCTTTGAAGGCAGGCATTACGAGTGGGTTGTACTCCCATTAGGCCTATCGTCCACTCCCTGGCTGTTCACCCGGTTAACCACCCCCACAGTGGGGTTCCGTCACAGGAGGGGTGTCAGGTACTTTGCGTACCTGGACGACTCGCTAGTAGCAAATCAGATGACAGACGTGCTGTCTCATCAGCTCGATTTCGCACTTCGTCTCTTGGAGCAATTGGGGTGGATTGTCAATCTCCCCAAGAGCGAGTTAACCCCCTCACAGAACTTGAAGTTCATCGGAGGTCGGTTCGACACGGTGACCCATCGCCTCTTTGTCCCTCCTAGACCAGTGGCACAAGATTCAGGTGATGATTGCCAAAGTCTTAGCGGTGCAACAGACTGTTCACTTTTGGGAACAGCTGTTAGGGCTACTTGTGTCAGCCCACGACTGCACTGATCAGGGTCGTCTACAACTCCGCCCGCTGCAACGGTTTCTAATCCAGTTGTTGGCGCAGGAGGAGAACAGTGCGACCGTCGCCCTCCCGGATTGGCTCCAACCGCATCTGGAGTGGTGGACAGTCCCTTGCAACGTCTTATCAGGACTCTCTGTATACAGATGCCTCTCTAGTGGGCTGGGGGACCCGACATCCACGGAGTGAATGCTCAACCCAGTAGTGTTTCAGTGGCTGTGCGAACGTCTGGGTCGTCCAATGGTTGACCTGTTCGCAACCAGGTTCAACAATCAACTCCCGTTGTTTGTGTCACCAGTCCCGGACCCGGACGATTTTTTCGCGTTAGACTGGACGGGCATGGACGCTTATGCTTACCCGCCCACGGAGTTAATACCACTCATTCTAAGCCGGCTCCGAGGAGTTCGCTGTCGAATGTTGCTGATCGCACCCATGTGGCCGAACAGATCGTGGTACCCCGACTTGCTGGCCCAGGTCAGTTGCCACATCCACTGCCTGTGAGACCAGATCTCCTGATCCACCCTCACCCGTCAGCTTCATCCAAACGCAGGGCAGTTCAATCTGTACGCGTGGATGTTGTCACCGAGCGTCTGAGGAGTAAAGGTTTTTCTCGTTGGGCGTCTCGGGCATACGTAAGTATGCATCGTGATTCTACCCAGAAGGTGTATAATGCATGATGGGTTATTTTCATGAAGTGGTGTTGTAAACATCACATTCATTCGCCAGATAAGGTATCTGTGCAGGATATTGCTCGTTTCATGTCTCACTTACGAGAGACCCGGAAACTCTCCGGGGGTTCCATTGCCAACTATGTCTCTTCTGTTGCTACGGTACGGGACGTTGCTATGGGTACCAGTCTCTAAAAAAGAGCCGGTGATTCGGGGTATTATCAAGGGTTTTAAACAACACGATCTTAAGAAGGGCCGCCTTCGTTCACCGGCCTGGGATCTTTCGCTGGTGTTGAAATCTCTCAAGGAAATCTTACATCCTGCCGATACTGAGGACAGATCGCTGTGTCCGGTTAGGGCCCTTAAGTATTATCTTAAGGCTTGTGTAACCCTAATCGCACTGCTGACATAACTCGCAACTCGATTGCGTTATGGCTTCATTCTGTCATCAATCTGGCGTACCGGTCTCAGGGGTTACCGGTGCGGGGTCAAACCCGCACAAGATCAGGGCGCTATTTGCCCTGTTCACAGAATATTATGAGGTTGTTACTGGCGTTCTGACTCGGTTTTGGCAAACATTACCTCAGAAAGGTCTGTGATGAAGACGTGGAGGGTGTGCACCGTCTTGGGCTGCTGATCGCGGCACAAGCGGTCATCTAAGGAGTGTGTCCAGCGCAGTTCCGAACTCCACAGGCGTCAGACCTTGCACGGTGGTCAATCTGTGTCGTCTCCAATGTTCCCACCGCCGTGGGTACAGGACACCACAGGTGAGGCGGCTTTTTGTGTGTTTTGTCCTTATTTTAACCTGTTTAACCTGATCTAAGATTTAGCTCACACGGATACTGTGTTCTCATCCGCTGCGGCAATGAAATACCTATCCAGTGGGGCCGTTTGGAGTCACCAATCGTTTGGCAATGACGACTGAGCCTAACGGTATGCGCTTGACAGTGCTTTGGTATTCCTATAGGGTAACGCCTAGCTAGGAGCATACGCATCGAGTGCTGCCGCCTTGTTGTTTACTTCCGCTGGTCGGAAGGAACACGAGCAGTCAGGTTCGGGTTGTAGGTGCTCCCCACCGCCAACTGTGGTAGTCAGCCTCGGTATAACAGTGGTAACTTATTACTTAATGAAATTTGTAGAATTTTCCTATTTGGAATATTCTATAATAATACGTTTCCACTGGGCAGCTGCCCGCCCATCCGTCCCCTGAGCACTTGCTCTTTCGCTAGAGACAAGAGTGAAGGGTGTCACATGGCAGCTGGGTGGCTACCAACGTGCTGCATGAGGTAATTGAGATCTCTGTGGTAGATTTCGCTATAGCAGCAGTTGTGGGAGACAACAGCCTCGGTATAACAGTGGTAACGTATTACTTATAGAATATTCCGAATAGGAAAATTCTACAATTTTCTACATTGATAGTGATTTTCTAGGGTTCCAATCCTGGTTCGCCCCGATTATGTTTCCAGGTTTGTCAGCACCATACCTGTGTTTGTGGGTTTCACCGAAGTGGTAAACGT